CTGCTGGCTGTGGCTGCATATTCAAAGGACGGTTTATGAGAGTGGTGTCAATTTTCTCATCTAACTCTTGCAAGAAAGCAAACTGGTGTTTTTCCCAAAATGTTGAACTATTCCTTTAATTATTAAACCTCTTAATTTAAAGGCCTTTGTCTCGGCCATGTAAAACACCTGCGCCATTTATAGGTCATCATTTAGAGACATATAAGACTTGTATCTTGACTTACACTGACTTAGACTTAAGGTAGAAGAAGGTAGAAGGTAGATTTAATTGTACAACAGGATTGTCAAATGAAATGCAGTTTGCACCTCTGTTCTGCTATATATATATATATATATATATATATATATAAAGATACAGTATACAACAATCATAAAATTGTAAACAGAAATAAACTATAAACTATATTGCATGGAGCAGTGGTGAGGATGAGTCTGAAAAGTCTGATAGCTTAGAGGGGGAAGCTGCCCTGCAGTCTGGTGGTGCAACAGCAGAAACTTCTATATCTCTTTCCAGATGTCAGCAGGATGAACAGGCTAGGTCTGGGGTGGTTACTGTCCTTTAGTATCCTCACACTGGAAAGAAGACTGCTGCATGCATTAAACCTGATGTAAACATTTTCAATATAATTCAGTGTCATGCATCCTTATTTACAGCTGAGAGCTGACCCATGATTCACTTCAGTGTAGCATTTGGCTGTGCGCCACATTAATCGCCAGGGTAATGTGAAGACAGGCCTATTGACCAGTAGTCCAATAAGACAGAGGGGCAGGACATACAAATCAAAGCTGTCCTGCCTCATATTGACCAGACTGTCCGCAGGAAGCAAGATTCATTAGCTGGGTGACGGGGGAAGGAGACATGGGCGCAGAAAGTCACGGGGACTTTATTCACCTCAGATGCTGCCAAGCCTGCATGAAAAAAATTTTATATATTTAAATGGCATAACTCCAATTAGTAGTAATTCCTTGAAAATCCCCAGCATTGAACCAGAATTCAGTGTCTACATAGATTAGGTGCCTGTCTTTCTAATTTTCAACTGAGTACCTTTCAGCTTATGCATGTACAGTATATATAGGGGGCAGGTTCAGTAGTGCAGCAGACAGAAACATAAGTGATGATGCTGTCAGGAGTGTCGACCTGTTGATGGTTTGGGAGTTAGTGTGCTCTTCTGTCTTTCTTGTCACTCTACATTACCGACTGTCCAGCAGTGAAGAAAAATGTATTGTAGAGGGAAGTTTTGACAATTTGTAAGTCAGATTGTTGCGCCTGTATTGTGAAGACATTCTGAAAAAGATAAAATATTGTATATGCACTTATAGGAAGAGGCCATCACCAACTGAACTGGGCATATTCTGTATACTTTATCTCTTCTCTCTGCTGTGCGACACCAACAAGTGGTGAGCTTCCCCATTAGTGAATTGATCTTAACAGCTGAAGCGCCATTCTTCTTCCGTTTTTTTCTGTAATAATGTGAGCTCTATTGGCACCTGATACATCAGAAGTAAATGACTTTCCTTCATACGAGCAGACCTCTCCTTCATAGCTGCCGTAATTTTCAAATGCTATCACTTCAATAAAGCGGGAAGAGAGATACACTGCAAAAACTAAAATCTTGGTAAGATTAATTATCTTAATTGAAGGCAAAATATACTTGTTTTTTGTCCAACAAGATATTTCTTCTTACCAGGCAGCTTTTATGTTATGAGAATTTCACCTGTTTCAAGTTTTTTGTCCTTAAGTAGCAAGTGAAATATTCTTGTTCTGTTGGCAGATCATTTTGCTTATTTTAAGTAATATTTCCCCCATTTTAATGCTTTTCTTGTTTTTGAGAGCTCAGTTTTTGCAGTGTGACGTTTATTGCTTCTACAGTTCATTGTGGAAGTCAAAACGCCAAAGCAGAGAGATGTGATGAGTGTGCACTTTTCTGCCAAGTGAGAAGTTTCACAAGCAAATAAAAAAAGTATTTGGAAACAATCAACTACTACTCATTGAAGTGAATATTACCTTAGGATGGCTGTACTCTATTACCATTCTCGACTGTTAATAGGCCCTTTTCACTGACAGTTTACATGACACAGTAGAAAAAACCCACAGTAGAAAAAACCCACATTTAAATAACCGAATGAATGGCGGCGGAAAAAACCCACATTTAAATAAAAACCCACATTTAAATAACCGAATGAATGGCGGCGGAATTCTATTTAGCTGCTTCAGTCTCAGGGTCCTGGTGTTGTGCAGGCTGGTCACTGTCACACTGTCATGGCTTACTGAGACATTTCAGAAGCCATTATTACTATTATCTAAAATACCTGTGCATATCCTGCTATGGAAGTCAATATGTCTGCTGTGACAAAGGCCTGTTTTTTGGTGACTAGTCCAGCATCTCTCATATAATATTTAGAAAATTCTGCTATCTGTGTGAATCATTCCATGCAAATAGTAATTAATAAATTATAACAAACTGAGATGTTGTTTTACACATTTGAAACATTTTGTCTGCTGTAATGTGTTACAGTGGAACACTGTCCATTGCATTGCACATTAATGTGATTGTACATATCATTTTGCATATATTTGTCATATTGTGATGTATGGATATATCAGAAAAATCCTTGACAGTGGTATTGATTTTTGCGTTTGTGTCACACTCTGCATTTCTGTCTCTGTTTTCCCCTACACTCGCTCTCTCTCTCCCTGCCTGTGTCATGGTCCCCAGCTGTCCAGTCGGTGTTCAGACCAACTCCAGCTCCTCGTGTCCGTTCCATGGTCCTCAGCCCAGCTGCTCAGTCCGTGGACCTCAGCTCAGCTGTCCAGTCGGTGGTCAGACCGACTCCAGCTCCTCGTGTCCGGTCCATGGTCCCCAGCCCAGCTGCTCAGTCGGTGTTCAGACCGACTCCAGCTCCTCGTGTCCGGTCCATGGTCCCCAGCCCAGCTGCTCAGTCGGTGTTCAGACCGACTCCAGCTCCTCGTGTCCGGTCCATGGTCCTCAGCCCAGCTGTCTCGCCGGTGGTCCTCAGCCCAGCTGCTCAGTCGGTGTTCAGACCGACTCCAGCACCTCAAATCCGGCCCATGGTCCTCAGCCCAGCTGTCTCGCCCGTGGTCCTCAGCCCAGCTGCTCAGTCCGTGGACCTCAGCCCTGCTGCAGCTCCAGAGCACCAGAGCTTTGGGTGCCGACCTCCGGAGAGGTCTTCCCGTCGGCCTCCAGTGGGTTTCCAGCCTCTTTGTTGGCCTTCCTGTCGTCCCCCTGAACAGTCCGGCCTCCAGGGCCGTACTCCGGGACGGCCACCTGAACTCTGTGGTCCCTCTGGTCCTCCCGCCCAGTTGGGTCGTCCTCCCAGGCGACCTCCCGAATTCTGTGGCCCCCCTGGTCCGTTGGGTTATCCTCCAGGACGACCCCCTGAACTTTTGTTCCCCTCTGGCCGCCTTGGACGGCCTCCTGGACTGCCTTGCCCTGCCGGTAGTTGGCCCTTTGAGACTCTTGGTTTTGTTTTTCTGGCCCTCCACCTGGCCTCCCTCCGCCCACCCTGGGCCGGCTTGACCTGTTTGTGTTTTTTTTTTTGTGATGTTTCATTTTAGGACGTCAGGGGCCGTCCTTTTGAGGGAGGGGTACTGTCACACTCTGCATTTCTGTCTCTGTTTTCCCCTACACTCGCTCTCTCTCTCCCTGCCTGTGTCTCATTAGCCTCATGTCTTTCACCTGTGTTGCTCCCGCCCTGCTCGTTAGTCCCTGTGTGTGTATATATACCTGGTGTTTCTGTCTTGTCTTTGTCGGGTCATTGTATGTTGTCACCCAGTGTTGCAGTTTGTTCTCGTGTCTTCAGCCTTACTCGCCGTGTCTCCCTGTTACCCTGCTCAGTTTTGGATTCTGGTTTTCACCCTTTTGGATTTCTGTTGGACAGCCTTTGTTTTGGGACTCTGTCATCAGCCACTCAGCTTGTAAGTGTGCTCGCCTTTTGTTTGTTTATTAAAACCACTGAACCATACCTGCTCCGCTCTGTGTCCTGCTTTTGGGTCCTCCAACCTGCTCCACCCTGCTCCATACCACCGATCGTGACAGTTTGTGTGTTTTGTAATCAGGTTTAGACAAGAAACATTGCCCACACACTGACAAAAACTTGACTGAAACATTTCACGTGTTTTCAAATTTTTTTCACCTTTTGTAAGTGTAATAAATTGATTGATTTGTAAATGTGCGCCATCTCTCGTTCTTCACAGTGCCTGAGTCCAGCACATTCGAATGTGCCGGTGTATAGAACTCTCTCTCCCACTGCCCCTCTTCCCCAATAATGCCACCTGAAACAATGTTGTGTGGCAAGGTCCAAACCACTTTCTTTGTTTCCATTTACAGAAACAGGGCTGTGTATGAAAACCAGATTTTTTTTTTTCAGAGCACACACAAAACAAACCATGAGGAAATATTTGTAGACTTGAACAAAAAGTGATTACAACCACCTACTATCCCTTTAAGAACGCAAAAGTATCACGTTTGAGGTGTATAGATACACCAGCTCCAAAGTTCTGTGTGACAAAAAGCTTAGACAATAAACTTGGTGTCTGCAATTAAGACAAGTGTGCAGATTTTAACTTATTTTATTTAACTGTACTTTTGTATCCAGCACCTTGTCATAGCATCTGGTAGGTCTGGAAAGTTTTGCTGAGATTTAGAGATAAACCAAACAAACAACCGCCATTTATTTCAATATTTATAACAGTAACCCTTTATTAGAATATGGAATCCACATGTACCAGCCCAGTTCTTGAAGTACAGGAGTGAGTTGTGACTGCCCCCTTGTGTGCAGAGTAGTAAACATCCTATTGGTGTTTTTTAGGGGCATAAAACAAGTGGGTCACAAATTAATTCCCGATGCTGTGCCAAAGTGCTTTTAAGCAAGGCAGTAGGAGATTAAAAAGTGTCATCACTACTTAAAGTTTTTGTAGGCCTGTTTCAAACAACTAAAAAAATACAATGGCCCATAGCCTATATGCTTAGTCTCATGTTTCAAAATAGGCTACAATATTTTTGCTGTTTACACTTGCCAATGGGCCAAAAATGCAGTTTGATTAATGGTTTTCAAGCAAAAAACAACAACAACCCGTTTCAATGACCACTGTATTAGGATTTTACCTGGCAACAGCTGAGGCAATCCCCTTTTACTTCAATTTAAAGAATGACACAACATCATCTTCATGGCAAAAGGCTGGAGGATTTAACAATAACTGTGTCTTCATAAATAAACTTGTTCCAGTAAAGAGGAGGGATGAAGGAGCAGGCGATGCGGACAGACGCGCAGCCTGTTGTTACCGACCGGAAGGAGTTTCATTATTGACAATATGTTACAGGTCTGTCTGCAGCCGACACGGAGGACGAGCACCGAGACAAAAACAGGGAGTTTCCATCATCAGTAAGCCTTTATCCTCTTTTACTGTTTTCTCTGCATTAACCGAATTAAACGTCGTCGTTTTTAATTTTTAAAATATAGTCTATCGTTTTTTTTTTCTTTTTGCCCGTAGTGATGACGGAGGTGCGAGAGCTACGTTGCTTGACAGACATATAACAGCACCGTACATGCTTTTACTCTAAAGACTACATAATCGCAGTGCAGTGCCATTTGGGTTCCCTTGTGTTAGATAATTACATAAAATAAGTAAACCAGGCGATATAATGATCTACAGGAGGCCTGATTGTGAACATCCAATGAGTGCATCATTAAAAATTCAGACCTCATCAGCATCCTATGTAAGGGAAACGCGGTTCAGTCAGGTTCAGTAACGCATATTACTGATGATCAGTGTTTAAACCTCGGTGAGGTTATGTATCTGGTTGTTCTGTAATTGCCTAACGAGATGTATTGATTTTCGGTGCTATCCAAATAGGTCTAATATATAGACTGCACAGATACCACTAAAGAGCTGGTTAATCATCACTAAGTGAGTGCAATTCATTTAGTGCCCTGTGTGGATCAGACAGAGTCGGTCAAATGAAATGATGGGTGCATTTCCATTCTTTCTATAGTTTCCATCCTTGTTCACACAGGTGATTAACTAGTTTGGATGGTTGACCGCCTGCTGTGTAATACGGTCTCCTTGATCTAACTGACCATCAAGAAGATGCTGACACTCAACTTAACACAAAAAGTGACCACTCAACCTACTCTTTGAAGTAATTGGAGCCTGATCTTATGAGGACACTGGGTTTCTCTTGCAGCTGTGCTATGGTGTAAGTATTAGGTATAAATGTTTGTGTTGGTGTCATGTGAGAAATGGTCTGGTCACATGTACAGAATTAAAGAGTACCTTATTTATTTTAGGCCTGCAAATACTGATTTTTTCATCATCAATTTATCTGCCAATTATTTTTGCCATTCTTTGTTTATCTTCTATAAAATGTCAGAAAATTGTGAAAAATGCTTAATGCATAATTTCCTAAAGCCCAAGGAAAGGTCTTGAAATTGCTAGTTGTCTTTTCCAAACAACAAGCCAAAAACCACAAATATTCCGTTTACTGTCACATAAGACAAAGGAAAGCAGCAAATCCTCACTGAATTGAACTGAACTGGCATTTTTGCTTGAAAGGTAACTCATCCCGAATGTTCTGTTTGAAGCCCTGCTTCCTCTTTTGTACAAAACATGTTACATAAAACAACATATTTAATGTTGTTTTATCAGCTTCATACTTTACAATTTTTGCCTAATTTAATGAGAATTGCCTATAAACCTGATTTTCAACTGACGACATCTTTCAGAAGTCTCAGAAGCCGCAGCTGTAAAACCTGGTGAAATACAATGGATTTTCATTATGTTCTGTATCTGTGATTGGTGATGATATTGCAGCACCTCTTCTCCCAAATAAGTTTATTTTGTTCTTTAGAATTTGAACTGTCTATCACCATCACTATGTGGGGTGACATACAGACAAACATGCGCATTTTTTAAACTTACATATAAAGTACATTTTCATGCATATGGCCAATCCTTGACAAATGTTTTCATTTGACCGACTAACAGACGGTGTGTTAATGGTGTGATTGTTTTAGTTGTAATTTATTTACATCAATTAGGATGTACAATGTTATGTCAAGATTAAAATAAATAGTTTCCGAATCGTCATAAATCCTTCTGTGTAGAGGGAAAAAAAACTCCTCACTGAAATCCAGTGTAAACCTGTCTCTGGTTGTCTTTCTCTACTCTGAAGAAAAAGTCCAGCTGAGCTGTCCCTGAGGCAGAGCTATGGGCTGTGGGGGCAGCAGGACTGACGCTCTGGAGCCTCGATACCTGGAGAGCTGGACCAAGGAGACTGAGTCTACGTGGCTGACGAGTACAGACACTGATATCCCCCTGTCGTCCATCCAGAGCATCCCTTCTGAGAACTCGGAGGCCGGCTCCACCTCTGAGAAAACAATCAGCCCTGGTAGGAAATATGAATTATGGTTCAGTGGATGGACAAATGAATACCTAATTTATATCCTAACAGGAACAGGCTGTCATTGAACTGCTGAGAAAATGAATAATAGATTTATGGTACATAATTAGATTCCCACTCAAAATACAGTGTATTTGCTTTGCACCAAATGTCATTTTTAATTGCCACATTATGAGTAGGTACAATATTAGTAAACCGGCTTTAATCCAGTGTAGTATTTACTCTTTTCACTCTGGGCTAGGGGAGTTCAGACTTTGAGTCATATGCTGTAAGTAATTTGACTGAATAAGAAATGAGTCATCCTTTCTTGAAACTCCTAACATCAAAGTAAATTGTGACACATGTACAGTATATGTTAGTCTATCTGCTTTTCCCTGTAGGAACATTTCTATAAGTTTAACACCCTTTTCCATTTAGCACTTTTAGAGGTTTTGCACATCTGATTCAAAGTCCCTCATGCTGAAGGTAAGCATTATGATAGTGTGGCGCTGAAGAAACCTTTCTTCTTCTAATGTGCACTTAGTCAACACATACAGCTCAGAGACAGATGTCTCTTAATATAAATCTGTTGTTTTTTTGCTAATTCATCTTTTGCACTGATTTGAAATGCGGGTGCGTTTTCTTTGAAGCCAGGAGGAGATGGATCAGTGAATGGTCCATAATCAAATCAAGGCTACATCAAAAGCCACTGTGCTCAAACAGGACTTGGCTCTCATGGCAACAGAGCAGCTGTTAGTGAATGCAGGCAGAGGAGCCTTGATGTAATTGTGGAGACAAATTCAGTTACGCTCCACTCTGCAGAGATAAAACATACAAAATTGGCCAAATGTATCAGCAGCTGTATCAAACAGTAGTTCCACAATGATGTAACATAAATGTACATATGCAGGAAATGGCAGTGTTTTTGTGCAGAATTTCCTCTAAACGGCCTTTATTCTGCTTTATGTGTTGGTTCTATCCCAACACATGTGGTCCACGTTCACACGTCACTGAGGAGGAATACAATATGTGTTTAACATCATCCATCATCATACACTTAACCCTCTTGATGTGCATGCAAAATACTGCTTCACAGACATTAATCATCACAACTCACTGCTCCACACCATCGTCACATTAGTTCAGTGGTGGCAGTAATGCACCTGTAAGCTGTGTGCTCTGACCTGTGACTAATGGTGTCTGTTATATAAATTGCAAACTTCTGCACTACACAAAGCATGATTAATGTGATAATAGTGATATTGGTAGGACCGGAATACACATGTTATATATTTGGTTATTTTGAATGAAACATACTCAAAGAAACCACAGCAATAAACAAAAGTTCAATGAACAGGTCTCCCAGACCTGAAGTGTTCATAAGAAATGTAAATCTAGAGAGCCAGTAACTATTTATCAGCTTTTATTATTTACTGTATGTCCAAAAATGACACAGTTTCAGCACTTAAATTTCTACAAATTTCTGTTTTTAGATTATGTAGATAATCTCCAAAATGGTTCATCTAATATTGTCAACATAATTAGTCTTATTTAAGCTCTTTTCATTATTTATTCCCTCTTTTAATTGTTGTACAATATTCAGTCCTTTAACTGTCTGTTTTTCTCTGATAAAATAATATTGGCTGTGTTGTAGTCTGTGTACCTATCTTGTGTGCAGCTACTTTATGTGTACATAGCTTTAAAAGCCGTCTCAGCTCAAGCACCCATGAGCGACAAGGTGACAAGGGCCTGTTAACGTAGCATGTTCTGAAAATCCTCCACACACTTACGGTCTTTGCAGGTGCCAATTGGCAGTTGGCAATTAGAAGAAATACATAACACACAGACAGACTGCAGGTGTGTGCTTTAAGGCTGAGACTATAGGTTTATTGCATTATGGATGCTTCTGTGTATAGTACAGTAACATCATCTTCACAGCATTAGGGGCTTTGATTTGTCTGAGGGTCAGTAGGTCACATTCAGCAAGACAACCCCCTGCATTCATGTCTCTTTATCCTCACACCATGGCCCAATACTTAATCTGTAAGTACATGTTTAGGGTTATAAATTCAGCCCTACACCTGGGACTGCAAAGCAAGCTCTCAGATCTCATTTTGAGACTCAGTGTAAGAGACCAGTGGTTTAGTTGCTCCAGGCAACAAAGCTGAGGTTTTATTTTGTTACATTTCCAGATTTCTTTGAGGACAGCCTCCCTCTACCTGCTCAGGCTTACCTGAAGGTCTGTTCAGCCGTGTCAGAAGCCAATCTGAACGACGCGAAGCCCAGCAGCCCCCCTGCAATACTGGGCTCTCCAACCAAGGAGGCCGTGTTACCGTCATCTGGCACCACAGTGCAGCGCAGAAGTGTTCTACACACTGAAGAGATTGTAAGACTCTCCCCTGGAAACGTTTAAATGCTCCATGTCAGTTTTTAAAAAAATCAACAAACTTTTTCTTTTATGTTAATTTATTGAGTACAAGTTCTGTGGAGAACATGCGCAAGAACACATCAGCTAAAGGACAATCCATGATTTTAAATATATATATATTCTTGCACCACAGATGATCTGATCAGATTTTGGATGACCTTACTGGATAATCTGCCACAATCTGTAATCTAAACAAATTTTACATTGTTAGCATTGTTCATTTTATAATGCCCCGTCTTTCATTCTGCATCATTATCAGACAAAATGGCAGGACAATCGGATGTCGACCAAGCAGGTAACCATCACAGTGACACAGAGCATCCATCAGGTGGACAAGAACGGGAAGGTGAAGAAGTCCCTCACCACTTACGAGGTTATGAAACCTGTGGAAACCCTCAAACAGGTGGCCACACAAAACACTTGAGCGCAAGGGACACTGGGAGAAGCCAAAGAAAAACTGTGAAATAAGTGAAGCGATTGTGTATTTGTGGAAAAATCTTTACAGTCTGATGGCTGACGAAAGCACAGCAAGGATGCGTGACTCTGCTCTGAGACTATGAACTGTACAATTTAGATTGTCATATTGAAAACATGTTTCTTTTAAAAAAAGACCTTCAACTAGGCCATATTGTATTTAATACTGTAAGATCTATTTCTAGGGTGCCTGAGTTTGACTTTACTTTGACACGTTGAAGACATTGATATGTAAAACTGTAGGTTGGTCAGAGAAAATACAAAACATACATTTTACACTACACACAGTGTCAGGCCAAAAATAAATGAAAAATTCATAGTATTCTGTATTCAGCAAAAAGCAAGAAAAAAGCATTTTTAATCCCAATTTATAAGACGCTTTTAGGATAAATATGTGTGTAAATCTATTATTAAAGTATTATTTCACTTCATTGAATATTCACAAATGATAAATATTTTGCAGTTTTGTTATTTGACATGTAGCTGCTGCTGTGCTACAATCTGTATGGCTCAGGAAACAGAAACTGGCTGATGATTGCACTATTTACAGTGAAGCCTTGGACAGGAGTTTGTGATGACGACAATGTAAAAAGTTGTCTTACTACATCGTGTTGTTTTGTACAATACAGTGTTACATTTTTTTATGTAGTCATTCGTGTTTTCTAATGACAAATAATGAAACATTTATGGTCCTTATAAGGGTTGAGCTAGTACTCGGCTGATTGTGTATCCGGTACAGATAATGTACTTTTTACAAGTATGAGTATCAGAGTAAAATGTGTATATCCGTTTTCTAATAAACAATAAATATAAAACTTGTTGGACGGTTAGTCCCGCCCATGTTCTGTTTAAGCCCCGTCCGTTCCATAATTTAGTTGGTTGAACACATACAGATAATGGTGTACTCGCTTATCCCTTGTCCTTATTTTGAATCACTTCTTAAAGCTGTATATCTTGGACATGTTTTAATGACAGAAACATGGGATAAACATGTTGGCACTTTGACAAACTGTGCTGGCAAACAAAAAACATTAAACGTGTGCTTTTCCGGGATCATCACACAGAATACATTATTTATTTATTTATTTATATATATATATATATATATATGTGTAGCATCTTCTCTGGAAGCTTGCATTTTGTTGTACAAGCAATCGATTAACAATTGCAGAGTTTCTAAGAGGTCCCTGGAGATCAGTGACAGACAGCAGTTCTGGGATCAGCTTTGCATTGAAAGTGTATGGATGTGTTTTTGATCGTCGTAATGCATTTGTCCTGATCGGAATGATGTCTCTTCCTTCTCCATCCATTCCTCTGCGCAGAAGTCTGGGAAGAAGAAACGGATTTCTCTTTGTGCCGACTCGACTGAATCTAGAGAGAATGGAGATTAAAAATAAAACACTTTTAAAAATGTACTCACTCGTCAGTACAATAAGAATAAAATCTTTAAGCTTAGCTAAAAATGGCTAATGGAAGAATTTACGTTGTGTCCAAAATCACTCCCTTGCTCACTCAGCGGTTTACTCTATAGGTAGTGGTAAATTGAAATGTCGGATACTTAGGAATCATCATCATTTTGTGTCATTCATAGGTCACACGCACTTGTTGGCAGAAAGCAGTGTACATGACATGGAGACAGTTTTGTTCCACTCAAGGATTTTTTTTTCACACATTCAAACACAAACAAAATGGCGGAGGGTAAATATAGTATAATATAGTAAATAGGAAAGGGGTTGGACAAACATGTTTCGACAAGTGATCTTTGTGACGGCGATGGGACAGTGGATAAGACATGCCTTTGGTGTGGGAGGCCTGAGTTCGTGTCCCTAGTTGCTCCAGATGCATGTGACCTGATATACAGTATATATCGACTGTAAGTTGATTTGGTCAGCTAAATGAGTAAATGTAATGTCATCTGTAAATGCCTTTTTAGTACAACTGAGTAAATCTCCAGATTTAAGACTTCTATGATGACTCACACTGGCAGTATTGAATATTGGCACTTGAGAACTGGCATTACTGTAATTTCAGTTTGTAACGCTTACAGCTAACAGCCTCTTACAGAATACATTGTAAATGATTGAATGACTCATTTTTAACTTCATGCAAATATTAGGAAAAATTTTACAAGGAGCTAAAAAAAATCTATTAAATATTTTGCAGTATTGTTGTTTATTATCGCTATTTGCTGCCCTATAATTACACTGTAATTAAACTAACTAAACTAAACCTGATAAAATTGCAGTATGGGATTTGACAGCCAATGTGATAACGCACGGGGGGGAAGGATATGTTGTAAACCTGCTGGACTGTATCTGAAGCCCCGAGGAGTCTTAAATACATGCCACTCAACGTACTTCCTACCTGAGCCGTGAGTCGTGTTTCGTGTGTCCGTGAGTCCAAACTGGGCCCTGATGGAAGCAGGCGCAGTATATCTGGCTCTGAACACTTTGGTCGGTCCCATCAGTTCTCTCCAGTGACGTATGGCGTCCTCTCTGGCTAAAATGTATGCTCGCATCGGACCACTGTGGAAAGGAAATGAACAGCAATTTGAGTGGTCATGAGTCACAGTTAAATATTACGCCATGTAAGCTTACAGTCACTGCTCTGTGCTGCTGTCATAGACTTTTTAATTTAAACCCTGGATGCTTAACACTGACAGCATCAAGAAAAAGGGTTGCTGTAGCAACTACAGATTCACAGCTGTGAGAAAGCAAAAATAACAATGTGATTACAAGCACATTTTGCAATCCAGTGGGGGCATGAGGAGCTATTGTGAGGAGGCTACACTGTGATTTTCAGACAACTGCTCCAGGGGTGCTGTGCTAAACACGGCAGTCCATTGATAATTGAAACTCCTGTTGCTGAGCACGAAACAGGGGCACCATCAACTGAGGTGTTCATTTGTCTGAAATGTCTCCATTATTCCATTTCAAATACGTCATCCAACATTAATCCACATGCGTCAAAGCATCATTCATTCAACAATGTTATGGTTTGGGAAATGTAGAGGTTTACCTTGACATGAATTCAACTAGTCTTTGGTAGAAGAATCGCTCTAAAAAGCAAAACAAAAACAAGTTAAATGGAGCTTAAACAACTGTTCAACTCTGAAATTCATATTAAATTATCAGTGTCACTGTCAGACTCAGAAATAAACATCACTATAAAAAAATCCTTTTCAATTATCCTCCTCAAGACAAGAGGCTGTTTTTCTCTCCTTCACATGGAATGAATTGCTTGTTGTAACCTACTAGGGCTGCTCAGTAAATCTGCAGTTAGACCAGTTGAGTCCACACCTGAATGTTCAGCATAAAACCTCTCGGAGTCCTGTCTCCTCCACACGAGATCTTTGCATCTAACAATCACAAACTTGTTGTCCAGGATTGTCTGGTGAAGAGCCTGAAAGAAAAAGAAAACATTGTTGTGCCATAGTTTCAATTTTTTTTTATTCATATAGCGCCAATTCACAACAGAAGTTATCTCATTGTACTTGAATGTAATATAACACATAATGTAGCTGATAATCAGTGACCTATATCTAAATATGCTGGATCAGAGGTACATACGGGGTACTGTGTGCAGATTTCTTTCAGACTTCAGGGGCAAGCATTTCAATGTTATATAATCTACTGGTGTTATACTTGCCAGAGGGACAATACTTACAGCCAAATATTCTGATCCGAATAAGATGACAACAGCCTTGAACTGGTCCACTTTATGTGGCTTTGAAATTGGACATTTCAATAATGGAATATTTTATGATTGACGCAGCTTTCAGGCCTTTGAGGCCTTGGGGCTTGTGAATCTATCAAGGCAGCAAATGGAGATTCTTCTTTACCGTTTGAATGAAACTGAGAGTGTGGCAGGCTGTGTCAGCGAAAAGGCCACTCCTTGGATTATTTGATTTGACAATAAGCTTAAATAATAAATTAATAGAAAGACAAAGACACTTAGTGTAGCGGCCAAAAGTTTAATTTACCTTATGACATACCAAAAACAAAGTACATAATACAGCAACTTAATATTATTCACACTGTATTTCAGTATGTAAAGTCAAATGGTGGAATTCTATAGCAAATGACTTAAAAGGTTCAAACTCACTTTAATAGAAGATCATCAATGTCTACGTCATCTATTTATTTCGAGAAGGGGGAAGCTAATATAATATTCTTCTCCCTGCAATACAGTATGAAATGCACAGGTGTGTGTAGGTGGAAAGTGGCACGACCCCTGAAGAGTTAATCCTGCCAAAGAAAGGTCATTTAACTGCTTAAATCTTTAAAAAATGTTTACTCTTCAACTGACGTCACCGTTCACTCTGGCAAGGTCACAATAAACAGAGAAAAGAAAGCTTTTACGGCAAAAGTGAAGAATTAGAAATGTACAATAAAATATAAGGAAAATGTATTGTAAATGGTGAGCTGTAACTTACAGTAAAAAAGAGGATGGGATGTGTAAAATATTGACTAAAGAATGTGCAGTGGTTCACAGTATGAAGAATAACTGTGACGCGAACACGTCTGGAGTTTAAAGTGGTGGGAGCTCACCTCTAGCATCACAGGATGAGCTACAGCATCTGGTTTGATCACCGCCAGGGTGAGCTGCAGCACTTTGGACAGGCTGCGAGCTGTCAGCCACATTGTCTGCAGAAAAGACAGACACCACTGGCTCATCAGGTACAGTGCGTCACAACAGTGCATCAAAAGTAAGCCACGAAACCTAAATATAGCGTCAGCGGTTGATACGCAGCTGTAGCTAATCATTTATCATCAAATAAATTCAGTGTAAACGCCATAAGCAGAAAAGTTACGACATTCGGTACTGAAGTAACCAAATTGTTCAAGCTATTAAATAATTCTTCTGTCTTAGTTACAGATACCAACCTCTGTTTGACTGGTTCCCAAAATAACGCTGCTGGTTAGGTTGAAGAGGAGAGCGCAGCAACGGGCGCCGCCATATTGTCGCAATTATATACACGTTACTTTAATATAAAGTCTCCACTTCGTGTCTACTGGTAATTTTGTTTTGGTGTATGTAACGACATACTGTACTATCAACGTGATTTTAACGTTAATATGCGAATAATCGCTGAATGGCTCCTTGCACCGGTCAGTCCGCTCGTAAATACTGTCCCCAGAAACTGAGCCAGCGCGTCATGTTCCCCCTACGAGAGGGACACAAAATAAAAACTCGCAAACTCATAACAAACCGTTATGAGTTATTATTCCGTTAAAATCGTAAAGATTAAAACTATTTGTTAAACTCAGAGACAAATAGTTTGTTAGAAGACTTGGCCACGTGACAAACATGAGTCCTTTTAACTTTAGTGCAACTCTAGAGCTTCTGTGATTGGTAGAACCCTTTTGTGTTGTGCATATAAATTTGCGTTATAATATAATTTATAATGATTGATTAGCATGTTCCGGCGGCTTACCAGGTTGAGACACAGAATGTGCTTATATTGTATCATAAACTAGACCAATCATTTTTTGAGGTTTGATCCAGCTCAAATCACTTAGAACTAGCCTACTCTCTTTATAGTGAAATAAAAGGATGAGAAAATTGTTCCTGGTTCCCTTTCACAGGGAACAGGTCACTACAAAGCAGCACAATTGTAGCTAAGTGGGATATAGTGCCTTGATTCACTGACCTGCTGTCCACGTCACTGTTCACAAATAACAAATAACAAATACTGTTCACAAATAAAAGCAAAAATGCCTTTATCACCTGTCAAAAAGACTGACGACATATATATATATATATATATATATATATATATATATATATATATATATATATATATATAAATTCAACCAATAAAGCTTTTTCAAACTTCTCTCTCTCAAATAACCCTGTCCTCTAACACTATCCTCTATTAAAAAAAGTGAATCCATTACAGTTAGAGAAAATCAAGGTTCTCAAAATGTCTCATGTGGACTTGAATTCCCCAGAGCTTCAGACACAGATCACATCTTCAAAACATAGAACTATGAGATTTCAGATAAACCTTTAATGAATAGATGGTCTCTAGTAACTGACACGACAGCTACAAGCAGGGACTGGAGTGAGGGAGATTTTTATCTGTGGAATTTCATCAATGTTGGAGATCAGACATACTGTATGAGTTACAAACTCAGAGCACATTCCAGTAATGCAAAATGGCCACACCCTTGAAAAAAGGAGGTTGTGTGAGTGTGTGTGTGAGTGTGTGTGTGTGTGTGTGTGTGTGTGTGTGTTTGTCCGTGTGGGATTTGACATTCAGAGAGAGAGAATAGGAGGGAAGAAAGGGGGGATGGATGTCCCACATAGGTTTCACCCACCTGCCCATGTCACGTGACTTGTGGTGACACCACAGCTGTTACCACCCATGAGGGGGATGAAGAGGACGAGAGGAGTTTGGGTGTCGGGTGGGTGAGGCGTTGAGTTGAGCTAATTTCTGAGGATATAACATAAAAACCTATGCACCTACAGCATGTACAAACCTTGTACTAAATATTTTATCATTATTTATTATACATTTATTATAAGTGGTGGGGGAAGTACAGTCACAATCCTTCTTACATAAAAGTACAGAAGTATTATCAGCTAAATTTGTAAAAGTACATATTTTGTAGAAAACAGGCCCAATCAATCATGTGTATGTCAATGTGTATGTAGCATTTTGCGGTTGTAGCTGGTTGAAGGTTAGTTTTAATTAGACTTTATATACAGTTAGGTAGTTTAGTCCAGTGGTTCCAAACTTAGTGGTCGGGCACCTCCAAGGGGTCACAAGATAAATATCATTTTAGGGAGGGGAAAGAAAATAAAATAAAGCTGTACTGCACAAATCTGTTGTGATTTTTTTTTCCTTCACATTTCTCTAATCTAAGTTTTCTTTTGCAAACTATTGGATAATTTGAACAGTTATTTAAATAAATGAACATGCACCATTTAGAGGATAAACATCTCTCTGGTGGAACTGCCGACAACTCTTAGACATCTGAAACATGACAAGGAGCTCCAACCAGACACTGTTTGTTTTGTGGTCACAAGAGGTAACAAGCCCAAAAGGTCGGGAACCACTGATTAAATCTATGATGCGTTTTATTTTGTAAGCTTTTTATGTGCAATTTAATCTGAAAGGTAACTATTAACTGTACCTGTCAGATACCTTGATTATTATACAGTATATGGTCTTGTGTAATTTGAGAAACAGGATGACCTAGAAAAGGGAGTAGAAATGTGGAATGAAGGTGGGGGTTTGAGTCAGTAAACTCTTAAATAGGAAACAACATATGCACGAGTCATCAGGTTTTTTTTGGATCTCGTTTTCATTATTCTCTTTGATGCCTTCTTTCTCTTCTGATGATGTAAGTGGGGAGCAAATCATTTATAAGCATAATTTGTAGAACTCAAAGACTATGTATCTGATGCTTGTTCTAACAGGATGAACAGGTTTCCAGATGGACAGAACAGAGACAATTGATCTCTGCTGACTCTTGCTTCAAACATCCTCAGCTGGGTGGTTGATTCCCCCCCCCCCACCACCACCACCACCACCACCACCACCATAAACCCATCTCTGTGTCACTGCTGCTGCTGCTGCTGCTGCTGCTGCTGCTGCCTCTCCTGCAGTTGTCATTCCCTTTTGGTGGGGAGTCGGGCAGCTGACTGACGACCCCCGCAGGCACTTGGGTTTCCATAGGTTACTCCACATTCATTCATCCACCAGGACCCACAGTAATGGATCATGTGAAAATGTTTCATATAGCACCGGGGAGAACATTTTCCTGTGATGGCAGACTAACTTTTGATGTGTGAGGAATGGTTAGAGCAACCAAACTGATTTCATTAAACATATAAGCATGGATTCATACTGATTTACAACGTACTTTTAAAAAATGTGAACCTCTCCTTAAAACTATCCAGAGGAGTGGAGGACTGGAAATAAGAGAAGAGTGAAGTGACTAATATAGCATACTGTGTCTGTGTCTGTAAATATGGCATTGTTGTACTTAGTAAGTGAGCCTGTTTACAAGTCTACTGTATTTGGATAACACTTTCACTGGTCCCATAGCTTCCTTTACCACCTAAATTGAACTGATATGCAACTACAAATACATAACAAGGTTCTTGGTAAGAACTGTGCACTTTGGTACTGGTACTAATTACTGGTAATTGTAGGAAAACGTATTAAATTCTTCCAATCAATTAATTCCAATTCATTTTGAAGCAACACTTTTCAAGAGTTGTAGTCAGCACACCGTGCCGCTGAACATGCGTCAAATTTGTCTAGATATATATGGTAAGAAAAAAGTTTTCAACAATAAATTCCTTTTAATAAAGTAATGATTGTTGACATGAGTTTAATGCACAAATTCTATCAAGGAATTTCCTCTGGAAATCAACAACTTCTTATAAAGTCAGCACGCCCAACAAAATAATACAAAAAACTGTCTCCAAACTTTGGCTCTTTTTTGCTAATAATTAATAATTATTTGCTAACATTTACCATCTGTTACCACACATGATCATATTAATATACACTAAAGGATTGACATTGCTTGTATGCATCTTTATATGAATATATCCATGTTGTCCTACATTATTCATAAACACGTAAGTTACATTCTGTCCTTTCTGCCTTTGTTTGTGCTGAAACTAGTCAACTATTATGTTTTGTGTATAATGTTTATACTATAACGATAAAGTCAAACGTCTCTGTAGGTATCATCATTGACTAGTGAGGTCTACTCACCAGTTTCTACTCATGCAGGATTATAATTGGGCTTTCACAACCACAACGTACATTTTAAACAGGCTTTTACCTACTTTGTGAGCAAATATTACATACTCTTGTTTGACCTGTAAACTCTGGTGTATACTAATCCACCATATTGCAGCTCACCTGTCACCAGGTCACTCAGAGGCCACCTGACCATTACAACAGGGCCATTTCAAAGGGGGACACAGACCCCAGTGTAACACCCAGAACCCTTTTATGTCCTAATTGTTTGGTTGGTGAGAAAAGTCAAGGATGTGTTTCCTGTCATCGCGCCTTTTGAGGCTTTAGGAACAAACCAGAGCCTAATTAGGGCGCCATATTCCAAGAAATCTATATGAATTAAACTGAAATTTAATTAAGGGAACCATGTTTTGTTTAACTACATCATTAATACCCCGATGGTACCATTGTTGTGAGACAGATGTGATTTTTTTGGTGTAAAATCATTGTGAAATTGTTTGTTAGGTTGGAACCAAATAACTAAATAGGGATTCTTAATTATAAGACCTGTACTGTATCATTAGCATAAGTAGTTTTGCAGTCCTACATTCTCAAATCTAATGACCACAAAGCATCCTGTCTAAATCTTTCTGTCCTTCTGTGGATTGCGGGAGTGAGTTGCCGTTACCTCTCCATCACCTGTTCTCTCTTTTAGCTTAAATGCCGGAGACCTTTGACCTTTGTGCTCCTTTGCTGCACCACACGGGACCAGGCTCCCTGCAACAGCTGTGTCAACCTCAGCCCTGGCAACTGGTGTGCCCAGGGAAGGACAGAGAGTGGCATTAAAGTCAGACCACGTAATGAGTCAGCAGCATGGTACTGTCTTATCTTTGTCAGGGTCGGGTGGTTCACTTTTACATATGGGTCTCTCAGTGAAGCAAATACACACAATAACCTTATAATTTACAGTATTCAATTCAGTTCAATTCAATCGGGCTCTATTGCCAAAGGAAGTGGGAAATCAAAACATGCACAAACAGGATCATTTCTGAAAAATAAGATTAAATAATAATAATCAATATAGACTTGCAGTTACAAAATACAAATACAAGTGAGAACTAATATCTCTCACACATTTTTTTCATTTTTATTCATTGTTAAAACCTATTTTGCAAATACCCACTCTCTCTAAATATCATTATCATAATGTTTTTCAGTCATATCTTTACAGAACAATCTAAAAAAAATAGTCAATCAGACGGGGATTTCTAATAGGTGATTGAAATGTAAGGTTCCTCTCCAGCTCCTGAAGAGAGTTGCCTCCAAAGAACCGTGCATGTGCAGGACCTGGTCTGGTGTCAGCTGCTGGTTTATTTATACCAATAGAAACCCATGCCATCCACTTTTGAAGAAACTGCTCTGGGGTGAGTCAATCTAACTCCAACCTTATGTCCAGAGGGAAATTATTTCCTCCTGCCAAGGAAAGTGTGTTGTGACCTCCCCAGAAGCAGTGGGACATTGGCAAAGGGATAGATGGGTTTGACAGAGGGGAACAAAGTGATTAGCAAACGGGGGCCCCGGTATGTGGACACGGGTTAAAAATAACCTCACTGACCCAATTTGTAGATAACATGCAACACAACCGCTGAGCTGCTGGCCGCCGTCTTCCTATTTTGGCTTAATTTTTCCTGATGACTCGATGAACTTGTAGAGGAGTGAAATCTCCCCTTGAATGCTTTTGTTTTTGGGATTCATTAGATCTATAAACGCTCACCAGACTGACGACTGGAACTCGAATAAATAAAACAGAAGAGGGGTTGACAGATGGGGGTGGAATCAAAGAGTAAGATGAGATCTTTTGCATGATGCGTGACACATGATGAAAGAGAAACAGATGATTAGATGAGAGGCTGATCTGTGTGTCAGCTATGAGCCAGTATGTGACAGTGATCAGCTGTCCCATTAAAAGGAAGAGCAGGATTATGATTTGTGTCTTAACCATTGTGTCCGGTGTGAGCGACCAAGAATCCACTCAACAACAAAAGTGATCTGATATTCCTAGCGCCCAGATATATCTGGCAAGGCCTTGGCGCATAGCTGACATTAGTGGAAATGTTGCATTTGTGATACACCCTGGCCCAGGGCCATGGGAAATATTGAACAACTGTCGAATTTAGACAACATCCTGTGGCGGAGAAAAAACGGGAGCCACAAAGATGCGATGGGGTGGCTATTTGTGGATGGCGAGTGCCTCGAAAATAGCGAGGCTATTAGGTTTCAATATAAGCCCCCCTCTCTGAGCTCGAGCTTTCTGTGAATGAGGCCCGGGTTCCTATCACACCCAACCCCAGCTCTGATTTTAGAACACAGGTGTTGACCTTAGTGGAGCGGCTTGTGCTTGCAGTAGAGGAAAATGAACCCCCGAGCTCAAGCCCCGGTTGCCTCTACAGAATTGGTCACTGTGTGCTCACACAGATGCTTCAAATCAGTCATATAAGGATGGTCAGATTCAATATAATGACTTATTCTAGATTCTAGATAATAACCACTAGGGGGATGAAAACAATCTCATATTTTCCGGCTAAGCGGTTTTATGTTTGATGAGAAATTGTTTCAACAACTTACTCTTTTAGCTGAAAGATTGTGTGTTATTTTTTTTACATTTTCAACAATTTCTGTAGAATGTTCCCTTCACACAAACGCAGCTTACATTACATTCATTGTTGTTTTGTAAGTGTCGTGGCAGCAGGATGGTCACCTTGTGGCCAATGGAGAATTTAGTGCTCGTTTTTATGGTGCCAGGAGAACGCCCATATAACTTATTCACACTCCTCACATATCATTGACTGTGCTTCATTAACAGAGGTTTACATTACAATTTATCAAAGGAGTTGCCACATTTGGTTGACTGTAAGGCAGATTTGTTTTGTGGCTACCTCCCAAAGGTAATCATCTCAAGGCATCATGTCATCTCATAAAAAATTTGACAACAGTGGACGTCACTTTTTCCTATACTGCTATTGATACAATGAAGCTAAAGTGGAGCGCAGGAACCAAACTGGGATGAAACTCAACCTTGGCTTCAGCTGTGACTCATGGCCCGCTGTGACTGCTGTTCTGACTGGACCCCCAAACCCAATAAAACACGCCCATCGTGCAGTTGCTTCCTTGTTTCTCTGTATCCCTCTCTTTCTCTCTTTTCTTTTTTTTTCTCCAAAAAGGAGCCATTGACATTCGGTGTAAAATAGAGGCAGGGTGGGGTGGGGGCTGAATAGAGGAACGGCAGGGGTGTAGGGTGTCTCGAGCCCAGTGTGAACAGCTGAGAGGTGTGATTTCACAGGCTGGCTCCCCCTGTCAGGGCCCTGATTGGGCCGGACAGGAGGCGCAGGAGAGGCCCGGGCTTCTAAAGGACACCAACAGGTGGGAGGCCGCTTTGGAGGGGGGTGCTCCTGGCGGGATAGAAAAGGCCGGTCTGCAAGGCCTGTAGTGTGCACAATCCACCAGCCAGATTGGGAGGAGGATGGTTGATTGCAGGATAGCTGAGGTGAAGAGAGGAGAGGGGCAGGATGAAGTTGGAGAATGGTTCTCGGGAAGCAGAGGGATAGTTTGAGTTTTGGTGGAAAGGGCAGCGCCAAGGACAAGGAGTAAGGTTGGTCTGAGAGATAGAAAGTGTTTTTGGTCACAGAACTCCTTTTTTAAATCTCTGCCTTTTGACAGTTGTGTAGGTAGCTTTTCTTTTGTGTTGGTTTATGTAGATGGTTAATATTTGACACCAACAAATGGGCTTTACAGTGACACCTATTTTTTGTTGAGTCCTTTAGATTCAGATGTTGTAGACTTTCAGCACTTCTAGTTTCCTTGCCTTGCAGCACCATGTGAGTGAAATCAGGTGTCAAACCAGTTGTTAGTGGTTTTCCATTTATAATAGGCACAGCACACCGTGGCACAGCCTGACACCTCCGTCAGGTGAGGGGAAACTGAGGTGTGATTCAGGAAGGAATCAGGAAATTTGGCGACCTGTGTCTCTCAGAGGAGCAATCCCAGTCCAATCAAAGTAGTATGGGCCAGTCTTTTCTAATGGCCATTTGGTCCGCAGCAGGTTGACACACCGCTGGTTAGATGTTTAAAGGAAGTCACCACAAGGCAGTGTAGGAGAGGCTGGCTGAACCCAGTGTGTCCTCAAGCTCCACTCCAGCTACTCACCACAAGAAACCCACAAGAGGAGACGCATTCAATAAAGGTGAGTAACAAATATTTTCAGTGCATTCAAGCTGAATTTTAAAAATATTATTTATGATATTAAAGCAGCTTTATAAAGGAGGATTTTTACACATCTGCTGGGATCAAAATGACTTTGCATGGTATAATGTTTAGGAAAGAGCACAGATTGTGACCTCAATCTGCCGGAAGTCCGAATATTCCTTGCTATTAAACACAAGGGAATTCAGCATCACATTGGCACTACCTATCAAAAAGATGCATGAGCTGGTAGTTAGCAATATTACTCTTAGATTCTGTAATCCTTAATATCAGGGACAAACAGTGTAGATAGTATTTTTTCTTTTAGTGTTGGAAGGACCAACCTTTTGTTCATATTACAAGACAACTGTTGGAAAATTAGCCTTTATATAAAACAAGTTTTTACTCAAAATTTGCCCCTATCAAACAAAACTTTGAATTTCTAACAAGTCTGCGGCGCAGATAATCAAAGCCAACGACACGTGTTTCTTTAGCCCCATCCCTCTTCGCTCTGTCACAGTTAACCATTGTTAAGCCAGGTTGTTCCTGCTACTCTGCAACTGTGACTATGAAAGGGTGCCTTGTGTCCGAGGAGCGGTGAATCCAGTTGTTGCCCCTTGTGAGGACATGCTTCCTTATATCCCCATATTAATACACCACTTATGGAATGTAAGGAAGTGTGTGGTTTCAAGGGTGCTTGAGCTCCAGCCGCACTGGGAAGAAAAGACATGGCTGATTTTATCTTTCATTTAAAAGTGATAAAAGACGGAGCTTCCTTCACCACGATTGTCTGAGTGTGCCTTTGTCTGTTTCATGAGATGGGAGGGGGATGACATGTTCACAATTGCGTGTGTGTGTGTGCGTGTGTGTGTGTGTGTGTGTGGCAGGACAACAGGTGAAGGGCCTGTTCCCTCTCCTTCACCTCAGACACGTGTACAGTTAGCATTACTCCCAGGGACGCTGATCGGGTCTCAGGGACTTCTTGAAAAATTCCTGCCCTGCCCCAACGGCTGACAGTCAAGGGGGATTGACAGACCACAGCTGTCACCCATTTTAGCAACCACAGGACTCTCAAAAAAGGAAGAGCGGAGGGAGGGCAGGGATGTGGAGCTGTCACTGAGGGTGAAGGGTCGCTCTCGTAGGCTGGGTTTGGGAGGAAATAGGACGATGTCACTGGCTGTCAGGATTCCCAAACTTCTAAATAGAAACTATCTGCTTGGTAACATGGAGATACTTCTTGTAACTATGCAGGGTATGTCAGTAGTAACTCAGTGATGATCCTCTTTTTCTCTCTGTGTGTTTCAGTGTTTCATCAGGTAAGGCTGAAGAGGACATGACGGCCTGACTGCTTGCAGATGATGTCCACCTCCTATTTCCGCTCTTTCTCTTCTCTCATTCCCTTCTTTTTCTATTTCCTCTACCCCTGTAACCTTCCCCTCTCAGCCCCCGCTCACTGCATGCACCGGTCCTGCTCTCTCTCGCTCTGCCTCTTGCAGCTGAAGCAACACGCCTTGCTGTGGCTGGTCAAACGGAACCAAGTCAGGTGTTTCTGTGAGGTTTGGTCCCCTTCAACCAGCTACTGCGCCGTGAATTCAGTCAGCAGACCCCAGCGTGGAAACAAAGACACAGAGGCGTTGTGGTGTATGCTGCATACTTTAGTGGAGGTGGTAGTTTATTGACAATGATAGATGATGTATTTTCTTTAGTAGTTTGGTGTTTGTTGTTTGCTGTGTGACAATGGATGTCAATAAAAGGTTTCTGACAACATTCAGTGGTAGATTTAAATGTCTAAAATGTAAAGAAAATTTAAAGGACGTATTGCTAGAGTCAGATTTCCTTCTACAATCCCGTTTGAAACGGTTTGAAAGGGTAGCGTTTTTCTAGTTTTTGATTAGACACACAATGGAAGTGTATGACTGACCTAGTTTTTTGCACCCAAGTATTATTCTGAACAGTATAATGAGTAGTCATTATGGATAGTTAGTCTGATGATAACATTTTTCATTGCACTACCAAAAGCTCAATTACCAGGTGATTCAAAGAGTATGCACAATACCACTTTCAGCGAAAAACACCTCCACCAAAAGTCTAACTTGTCTAACTGTTGAGGGAGATGAGACTGTAATAAAAATTAGATTATGATGAGTTTTGCCCACCCTATAGATGTAGTCAGTCTTTGTCATATGTCTTTCAGTATACTAAAATTATATATATATTCTTACCATTTCCTACATTTTTGTTGTAAACAAACCAACAAACAAACCAAATATTAAAATAGTTTAGTAAGGAGAACACGCTACCCTGTACGTAGGATAAGCGGTTGGCGATGGATGGATGGATGAATGGATAGTAAGGAGAACTATTTAGTTATAAATGTTTAGTCTCATAATAGTGTTTCTTCCTCTTATCTATTAGGTTGCTTATTTATTGTACATCATGGTGACAAGATCTATCTAAAGTTAGACTACAGTCCAGAGTCTTACAGTGCACCCTGAGTCTATAGGCCAGAGGATTCAGAACTGTGGACAGCATGCACGAGTCCTTCAATAATAATGATTATAATGAGAGATGTTTTGTGTTTTTGGTGATGTAATGTACAAGAGGTATTTCTGAAGGCCAACCAGACAGTCTGGAGGTCTCCATTTAAAGAAATTGTCCTGTTATTATTAAAGTCCCGGGTTTGACACTCATATTTCACACACATTTCCATCACCCATGCACACGTTCACTCATTATGAAGTGGGTAATGAGGTAAAAAATGTAAATTAAAAAGAGAGTATTTAAAATGGGTTACGCTTCCAAGTGTTACTTCTTTGACGTAATAAACTGCATATTCTGTCGTTTGTACATTATATGGTTGAGTAGACTAACTTTCAAAATGGTAATTATAACAGTACAGAACTAATGATTGCATATTTAGTATGGACCATGTGTATGACATCACAAACACTTGCCAAATTTAAATCTCTAAGCTGAAGGGGTGCTTGTAGTTACAAAACATTCAGTTCGTAAGGCTTCAATTAACAATCAGAGCTACAGAGGTTCAGGGGAAATCTATTTGAAAACTACAATGATCCACTGTAGATGGTTTTATAAATGTAACCTCTATACAAAGTGCCGCGCAGTGCATGAATTTACTGATAAACTAAGATTATAGGTTGTGTAGATAGCTATAATGTGTGCACAGACACCCTCTATAAATAAAATGAATAAGAGAATAAGGTATTCATGTACATGAGAAAAGTGACTTTGGTGAGCAGGAGGCTGTTATGAAAGTGTGTAGAATGATCCCAGGCTGAGATATAATATAAGATGTAAACCATCAACCAAATCAAATCAACCATCTACAACAAAATAATTAATTCAGCACAAATTGGATAAAAGCTAATTAAATCAAATCCCTGCAAGTGTGGATATTTCGTGTCACTGTTGGTGGGGACAATGAAAACATCTCCCAGCAGGAGACCTTTAGAAATAAAGTCTCTGATGGGTCTGAAAAAGATAGGGAGCAGACCAAATCACTGCAAGACATTTGAGGGGGGAAGACATCTTTCAAAACCCCGCATCAACTGTTGACGGACAACAGTGGATATATTTAATTGTTTTGATCAAAATTATTGCTAGGGACAATTAAGTAGTTGCTGGGTATTGGTACCATCCCTATTAAATTCTATGGCCTTCAATTTGATTACACTACAGTACAGAACACTACAGTTTTTCCTCCTTGGAGCAGGAAATGGTGTTTAAAAACACCATGTTAACATGGCCACCTTGAGACAACCCTGCATACAATAATTGCAAGAAAGAAAATACTTCCCTACTCAGCCCATCATGTATGAAGTGAGGTGAAGAAGTAAAATTAATTGATTACGATATAATATTGATAAATATTGGTATGGTTACTGGTTCAGAAAAAAATGCATGGTCTCTTCACCTTCTGGATAGGAATGAGAACCTGTTGCCTAGAGGATGTGGGGTGGCCTGCAGGCTAAGGTGGCTTTCAGGGTAGGCCAGTGAGAAGGTTTTTTTGTTGCACCTTGAACTGATTTTGTGATATGATTTAATGCTGCTGCTACACTTTCTCTTTCCCTCCATCTCCTGTTGTGAAAAGTAATTTACTGCATCCGCCCAAACCCACTGGCTACTTATCATACAGGCTTAGCCCAATTCCTGATATTTTAATTGCGATTGTAATTTTTATTTAATAGAACAGTTATTATGCCTAATACATGTTTTGTCTATGCCTATTCTTTTACTGGATGCGGACATTAAAAATCACCTACTGGCTGTCCAGGTTATTGAACTACAACCAAACACCATTTGGTGTACAGGTGATACCTGCACTACATCTTTCCACAAGGGGGCGACATACATTTGCCTGGGTGGTAGATTCTGCAGCTGCAGAGGAAGCGAAGCAGCATCGTAAACATGGCTGACAGTGGAGAGACAGGTGAGTTCGGGAGTGTGTAACAGCTGGACTTTATTACTGTTTCCAGCTATTTTGAATACTTTGCTGTGGTCACAGCAACAACATGTCTTGCACTTATAGTTCATGTTTTGTGGCCTTTGGGTTTGGCTTGTAGCGAGGTTAATTTCCTTATGCTAGTGCTGCTAACGTTAGCATTACAAGCAAGTCAACGGCACCATTGCGCCGGGCTAGACAGTGTAGCGTTAGTTTAACGGCAGACATCGCGATGTTATTGCATCATCTTTTCGATTCGTTTTATTAAATTTAGAGAGCAATTAAAAAGGCCTGTTTTAAGTTCCCCCTGTGCTGACTGACTGTCCTGACGGGTGTCGTTAGCATGATGCAAACCTAGCAAGTGTCATGTAGTCAGCCAACAGCGTCACCAAAACTGAAGGACTAACTGCTAAATAAAAGCTGGCCCTGTCATTAAAGCCCCTTATAAAAAAAAAGGAACAGACGTATGTGATTAAACTGATGTAATCATATAATCATCCGATGGTTGTTTTACAGATGGACATAGCAAGAAAGGTGACGTTCAACGAGCAAAGGTCAGAAAGTTCTTGAATTGTGTCACAGTCTAATATAAGACTACATAGTTGACTTCATTGTAATGTTTTCGTTGGACGCCCTTTCTCCACATATTTGCTTGACAGAGTGAAGGCAAGGAGCTGACCAAAGAGGAGAAGCAACGGCTGAGGAAAGAGAAGAAACAGCAGAAGAAAAGCAAAGAGAAAAGAGATGACAAGGCTTCACAGGAAAGTGAGAAAGAGAAGAAGCCTGTCAGTTCAGCTTCTCCAGCTTCCCAGCCCCCAACACAACCCACAACACAGAAAGGTGTCACATAAAGCACATTTGTATTTATTTCTCACTTGGCAGATTACTGTGCAGTGAGCATCAAATGCTTGCTGCTGACAGCGAGTTACAGATTATTTTTGTCAAAGAAATGTTCTTTCTAACTAGCATCCGTTACTGTGTGCTGTTTCTCCCCCAGTTCCTTCAGCAGTGCCTGCTCCAGTTTCTATACCTGCATCAGAAACTCAGCCTGCTAAGAGTAAAGCAGAGTTGAAGGCTGAGCGGAGAGCTCGGCAAGAGGCTGACAGGGCCTCCAAGCAGGGCAAGAAGGGAGATGTGGGACAGCAGGCCGCCACGGGCAAACCTAAAGCACCTCCTAGTGAGCTGCAGCCAGGTACTGTAGTAGCCTGGGGGTCAGCATAAATAGTGAAAATCATCATATAGACAATCTGAATTATACATTATATACCGTGCAGAAAGTCACACCTTTATATACTTGCGTTTTCAGTGGTGAAGAGGCTCCCAGAACATGTCCAGGTGGACAACCCGGAGGTTTTAAAGAAACTGGCAAAGAAATTGGAAAGACAACAGGTTAGCTACTTTATGTGTCGTCTCTAAAAACCTTGAATCATGAAAGCATGCTTTGTCTGATTCAGGACAGCTTGCCTTGACATAATACAATGCCAATTAAATTTTATATGTTAGCATTGGGTTAAATTTTGAGCACAGTAACAATAAATGCACTGAAATAAGAAAATATGTATGTAAGGAACAGATACAGTGACTCAAAGCATGTTGATGTCTTATTGGTAAATGACTAAAATTAATAAGGAATGGCCTGGATCTTGGTTGTTTGATCAGGCACTTGTTGCAAATAATGTGTTACAGTATAACGTATCCTCTGTCATCACTCATTGTCCAATTATGGGTATAGAGACAGTTCTCAAAATGTCACTAACAATTCTAAAAGTGAAAAAAAAAATGGCAGGGTGTCCTGTCAGTCATTGCAACCTCCCATAACCATGAGTCATAACCGCATGTGATTGTACCTAACATTTCTTTCAGACACCAGGGTACAATGCGGCTGCGCAGGTCAAGGTCTGACTTTCTTAAATGTGTGTGCGACTGACATCTGTCTAGTTTGGTTGTGTTTGCTTACCTGTAATTGTTATCGTCCTCCCAATGCCACTCGTTCGTTGAAAAGTTGGGCATGCAAACATATTATTTGGGCCATGGAGACACAGGTTGGTACGTCAGCGGGATGTGTTTGTTTGAGAAGTTGGTAGCATGTTCTTTTTTGTTCTTTGTGTTTACCCACAACACAGATGTTGCTGTGCAGGTTTATAGTTTCACTCCATACTGTATTTACAACAAAGTCATACACAAGAAATGTTTTCTTTGCTGCCAAAATTAAACAAGACTGTGTGAGTTTTATTTGAGAGTAGCCTTTCATTAGTATATAGTAACCTTTGTTTGTCCCTGTGGTACACTGAATTTTACTCACAGACTTAGCCATCTTTTAAATTATGCCCAGGCTGTTCTGTGACTGTGGGATCTCAGTTTTACCCTTTGAATCACTGGGGATTTATGGCAGTGGACTTTAATCTGCTTCATTTCAGATCCCACTCCGGTTAGACTACGGCTACAAAGTCAGCCTGTTTTCTCATCTCCACCAGTACAGTCGCAACGCCCCTCTAACACAGCAACTCGGGTAAACTGACAATATATCATTTAGTACAGTAGGTCTGAGAAGAGTTTGATTTATGTAGTAGCAATAATTTGTTATCTTATATCTTAAATCTCACTTATTGTTACTGAGTGTTTTTGTCTGTTACAGCATTCCCTCCACAGTGATTCATCCTGCTATTGTTCGACTGGGTCTCCAGTATTCACAGGGCATTGTGGCAGGATCCAATGCTCGCTCGGTCGCGCTGCTGCATGCCTTCAAACAGGTAGAGAGCAGACTACTTAGTCTGAGTGCTTTACCATTTGTGTTTCCTCTCTCTCCAGTATTTAGACACAGCAACAAAAACGCATTAGTTTGATTCTGTTTGTAATAAAGTACAATGAAAGAGTCCTAATAGCCTTAAATGTTCTTTCAATGTTACTGTTTTAAAAAAAAATTAACTCTGAAACTGTGGGTTGTATTTAAACTGCAATAACAATTAGTGAGACTTTTGGCACCTAACTGCTTCGACACCATTCAATGTAGAACCGTTGTTCAAACCTCAAAAAACTCAGCTCATTGATGACATTATGTTTGTATCTTTCATGCTTTACACAGGGTGTGGTTAAGTTGTTAAAAGCCTTTAATATTCTCTTACTCCCACAATTTTCTCTCTTCATATGTCCTTTTTTTTATGAAAAAATAGAAAAATGTGTCCCAAAATAGAAATGTCAATGGCTATTTTTTTTTCTTTACACACGCATTGCTTGGAAGGCTTAGACCTCAGCTGATGGTTTACACACTTAAACGACACATCAACTCCTACTCCGTACAGTTCATATAAAGCCTAGATCACACCACACAATTTTTAGCCCGATTTGCTGCTCAGCGGTCAATCTGCGGTCGGCAGTTGTTATGTGTGAACTACTTAACGCCGCATCAAAACGGCTCCCCAACACATCACTGCCACATCGCCGACATATGCCAGATATCTAGCATGCCAAAGATCTGGAAGAGTCGGCAGACTCGACATCCACATCCAGCCAATGAGAGCAGGCAGCTACTTTTTCACCGCAAAACACTTTTTACTCCCCTCCAGCTCTCTCTGTAGCTCAGACGAACCCGGCTACCTGCATGTGCTAATCCATTCTGTCATCCATATTTTTGTCTTTATAATCGGTATCTTTTTAATAACAAACAACAGCTGTTTCATGTGTATGTTCGCGTCAATTCCCGTTTCACAATTCACATGTGTTTTCTTGGCAAAATCTGGTTTGGAGACCAGCGGTGGGTGACAGAGCCGCTGTCAGTGTAGTGTGTGACCCCCTGTCATCGATCAGTCATGTAGTGTGAACGCCACAGCGACTTCAAGACTCCTGTCACAAGACAGCATGTTGTGTAGTGTGAACAGCACGGCCATCGGCCGACGCTGAAAGTCGTGTAGTCTGCACAAGGCTTTATAGTTTACACTATAACTCTTATAACACCTTTTATTGCTTACACTATATTTTGCCCCCTTCATACCTTTCCTTATTATTTCAACTCTTCGTACTCATTCAGCTTGTCCTTCATACTAAGTTAAGCCAGCAATGCAGTTTATCTCCCAGCCATTTATCAAGTGATAAAGCTTAGCATCGGCTTTTTAGCAGACAGCAATCCCACTGCAGTGTCTTCAGAAATTGCATTCTGTAGTATGAGGATGACATGATTTTATTTTAGACACCAGACAGATATAAAGTACACCAACTAAAAGCAATGTTTTTTTTCTCCTCAGGTAATAAGGGACTATACTACACCTCCAAATGAGGAGCTATCTAGAGACTTGGTCAACAAGCTGAAACCTTATATCAGGTACAAAAATGATTACAATTTTGGCCTGGATCATCACTAATATAGTTTTACTGAGTCCTAATGATCAATTTTAAAGTTTAACACATAAATTGATTCCTTTTGTCTTATTTTTCTTGCAGTTTTTTGAATCAATGTCGCCCTCTCTCAGCCAGCATGGGTAATGCAATCAAATACATCAAGAAAGAGATCTCCAATATTCCTAGTCAGTGCAAAGAAGAAGAGGTATTGTCACAATTGTTTTTCTCATAATTTAACCTGAGGGTCATAAACTTACTGTGTTGTAGCTAACACATTCAATAGATACCATAGACTTAATGTTGCTGATTTTCAGTTTTCACCTCTTCCCCCCACGTGCATTCTCTCTTTCTCTGTTTAGGCAAAGAGCAAGCTGCTGAACTGTATCGAGTGCTACATTGATGAGAGGATCAAACTTGCTGCTAAAGCTATTGCCAAGTACTCCATAGAAAAGATCAGTGATGGAGATGTCATCCTAGTTTATGGATGGTAAGCTGACGAGGCAAGGGAAAACAAAAGTTTATATGTCATAACTGGCAACCAAGCATTGCTTAATTGTATAAATGTAAAATGAATGCAACACATAAGTATCCAGACCTAAAATCCTATTTTTAAACGCTTTCTCTTCCGTTTTTCTTGTCTCACCCCTTAAACGCACATATTCTTCTTCAAACATTACCACTTCTCATTTTCATCTCTGTTTTTATCTCCCTCTGTTCAGCTCGTCACTGGTCAACCACATCCTGTGCAAAGCCTTTGAGAAGAGCAGGAAGTTCCGTGTGATCGTTGTGGACAGCAGGCCTCGACTGGAGGGCCGGGAGGCCCTGCGGCGCCTGGTCCAGAGAGGCATCAGCTGCACCTACGTCCTTATCTCGGCCGTGTCTTACATCCTTCCAGAGGTAAACATTCACACATCAGAGCTTAAGTAGAAATGTAAAGGCAAATGTTTGTGTTTTGAGCAAGCTACATTTCGTTTCTTTTTGCGTAAATATGTCATCATAATGCCTTGAACTTTGACCTCACAGGTATCAAAGGTGTTCCTTGGTGCTCATGCGCTGCTGGCCAACGGTTACGTCATGTCTCGTGTGGGGACGTCACAGATAGCTCTGGTGGCCAAAGCCTTTAACGTGCCTGTGCTGGTGTGTTGTGAAACCTACAAGTTTTGTGAAAGGGTGCAGACAGATTCCTTCGTGTCCAATGAACTAGGTATGGGAAAAGCAGCCAGTGGAGTGTTGGATCTGTTGAAGGTGTTTGTTTCTTTAAAGTTACTTGATTTTTGATACTGTCACTTCAAATGCTGCTTTTGCTCAATTTTACCTTCCATTCCTTCTAAACATTTGGTAAAGATGTCAGAATTAGTCAGGATTTATCTTCATCTGTCCTTTCCAGATGACCCCGATGACCTAATTGTGACCCGTAAAGGGAAGACCCAGCTAGAGCACTGGCAGGAAGTGCCTTCACTTGGCCTGCTTAACCTGGTGTATGACGTGACACCACCTGATTTCGTGGATCTAGTCATCACAGACCTGGGAATGATCCCATGCACCTCAGTCCCCGTGGTTCTGCGAGTCAAAAACGTGGACCAGTGAACAACCTGCTCAGCCTGAGCCTAGAGGCTGTTTCAATGGGGGACTTTGTGTGCTCGAATGCTTGCATACAACACAAAATGTTGTGTTTTTAGCATGCAATAAATATATATCTGAAATGGCATAAGCTTTTTAAACAGAGTCCGTGTGTGTTTTTATGGTAGGAATGGATCATTACAGAGATTTGTTTCCCTGGGCTAATTGGGCGAGGAGGGTAGTTTTGTCTTTTCTTTTGATATTGGCAAAAGTTTTCAATAGATGCAGGTTGTGAACTGTTTCTTTACAACAGAACATTTAATTGCTCGTATTTGGAGCAGAACAATTCCCCCGTGGTTCCCAACACGCTTTCACTGTCAACCACAGCATGCAATTTTAAACTAGCCAGAAATGGTTCCCTAATTATTGTGGGACCTGCAGTATTTCCGAGGAATTTTGTGACTCACATAAATTCTTCTGACTAGTTCTTAATGACCTGATCAATTGAACAGGATAAAGAAAATTACCAGGGAGTAAAACATTTTATTTTGGAAAATGAACTCAGTTTATTGCCATGTACACCTAGTCAACACAATACTTGCGTGTTTCAGTCTTCATTCTTTGACTTTTGGGAAGAAGCAACATTTTATTCACAGCTTCACACTGTCTATTTCCCTCTAAAGTAGTCATTTCTTTGTTAATGCAGTAGTTGATTCATTCATTTATCTCCCCATTTTATTTATTACTATGACTGTTTATGACTACTTTTGACACTATCTTTTACACCTATTAAATGACACTTCCAGACATGAGTCCATAAAAGGTGCTCAAATGAACAAATGCTTGTATGTGCATAATGCAAGGTATGTTTTATTTTACATTTTATTAGAACTCTGAATGTCAATGGGAAGGTGCATCAAAACTTCTCGCCCATCAACGTGGGGACATTTTCCAAGTTACCACATGTCACTGATGAATAAAGGACACAATGATGAGGACAAACATTTTTAGCAGATGTGTGTGGAAACATGCAAGCTGTGGTAACAGCAGGTGTCAACTAAGTAACATACTGTAGTTAAACTCAGTGTCTCACTTTTTTAATGTAACCTCTAATACATAAATGTTTATTAAAGCACAAAACTCAGTTAAACTTGGGATTCTGATGGTTCACATTATAATTCACATAGTGAATGTGGGTGGATAAGACACCCACCATGGTGTGGGAGTCCCAAGTAGAATTCCCACTGTGACACATCTACCAATGTGTCCCTGAGCAAGACACTTAACCCCTAGTTGCTCCAGAGGTGCGCAACCTCTGACATGAGTTAATGAAACTGACTTGGTTTTTGCTCTGCATAAAGTACATGTTCAACATTCTGTAAACAATTTTCCAAACTTTACAAATATGCTTAAGGACATGTAGATCCATTGTGTAAACTTCTACCCATGCATGCAGTATGTTTGGCACAGTCAACGAGCAAATCCTCAGAATTTGCTTAAACACAACCTCTTCATTAATATCTCGTGTCAGTCTACTATATTTAAAAATAGAATTAAAGTGTTAATAGTGGTATCATTGCCAGAAATGTTTAAAACATTTAAAACTTGGAGCAACTTGTGTTCAAATAAAATTTTCTCTCTAAAACTGCACTGATGATGTGGTAAAAAGAACCTCACTGGATAAAATATAGCTGCCCCTCAACGGTGTAAAATAAAATAAAACTTACTGTTTAAAAGAAGCCTGGGTTAACATCAGACTTTGTGTCAGCATTTTTCCCTTTTAAGAACAGTCAGTTTCAGCTCCGTACATCATTTCAGATAAAGACGTTGACCGCAGTTCAGCCTCAGAGTGACTTGGCTTTACGTCTCTGGGTGACCCACAGCAGGAGAGAGATCACAACCATAGAAGCACCAAGAGGCCCAAACACCTGAAGAGCTGGGAACTCCCCCTAGTGAGAATGAAAATAAATGCATAACTTTAAATACCCAAAAGATTCAATTGCACCAGTATTTAACTTAAGTAATTAATTACTGACCTCCCGAAGACATTTGTATCCATGATAGTTTTCAGCACAGCTGCACTCAAAGAAGCCGGGGCCATAGGGGGCGCAAAGGGAGTTCTCCGGGCAGTTAATGGCTGGAGATTGTCAAATTATGACATGAACAGATGTCATGTATTACCCGAGGGCTACTGCAGTTTTAGATTTCATGCATGACAATGGAAGATTATCAGATGGGAACTTACACAGCTGTCCGGTCTGATTGCATGTATCTTTCTGGCCCTCACAGAGACGATTTCCTTCTTTGACCTCCACCTTCTCCCAAGAGGTGTTGCCTCCTGGACAAACTATGTCTCGTGGCAAAATCCTATAGAGAAACCAAAATAGAGTTAAAAAGAAATAAAAATAACTTAATTCTCATGAGCAGCTGTCATAGTTTAAGTTTAAGAATACTTACATGTAATTTAACTCAATAAATCCTTGAAAGGCTGTACCACTGATGTTGGCAATGGGGTTGAGTGAGAGGTCTCTGCAAAGCAAAAGTTTATAAAGTAAAAAACCTTTGGAAGGGCAAAGACAAAAAAAACCAAACAATATATATATATATATATATATATATATATATATATTTATATATACACACGTTTATACAAATATACGTTCCTTGTGCTCAAAGCGCTGTAATTATGTACTTGCCAGGGGTTAATTTGCTTTAGCTCTATTTCTTTTTTTCTCTTAAGAGTTGGTGAAGAGTTTTGGTCCTTGCCAGCAGGAGAGATTCAAGTTTTTATTTGCTGCTAGGAAAAGAAACTCACCTAACCTCCTGTTGTCTAAGAATAATCTTATCAACACTAAGATCATTCTGAGGAATTGCCTGCACTGCCTGAGTGCAGCAGTGTTTATTGTGTAGAATGGGCCCATATTATCGTGCATAATCAACATGTACAGTATTGATAGCACAGGTCATCTTTTTTGCCTTAGAAACAACCTCACAGAGTCTCTAAGGCAGTGTTGTTTTAAAGAGTATAAAACTGTATTTACTGTACATACATACATCATTAATGCCGTTGATGCTCCCTGAAGCTCCTCCACGTGAGTTAGTGAACAATTGGACAGATCCAACCTGACACAAACAAAAAGCCATGTTGAAACATTAACAAAGCAAATGTAACATTATTCATTCATTCATTCATTCATACATTAGCACACTTTATTTACACTTATTTATTTTTGTCCCAGTACCATATTTATGTATCTGTTTAAGTATACTGATGTTCTGTACAGAATTAGTAACGTTTACTTTTATAACATCTTGTCATCTACATACCATTTATAACTTGGTGTAATAAAATTAAATTTCTACATTTCCGATTGACCCTGAAGGCAACATTAAAATCCTACCCAATGATGTGTTCATAGTCGCTTGTGTTGCTATTCCTCAAGCAGCAGCGCCCGTCTATCCGACCAGCTGATGAGGAGCAAAACTGGCCCACTGTGGTGCCATTTAGGATTGTACCGCTGCAGAGCTCACATACCTGTTAATACAAATCAGTGCGAAGGAAGTGAAAATGTTATAAACAACAATACAGCCACTATACACACCTTGTTTCTCAAGACTATGCCGATATGTTGTCATTTACTTATTCTGGTAAAGACTCCTGCTATTACATTGCCAAATCTGAGTGAGTCTTACCTTCAGATCAGTCAGTTGATAACTTGCATAAAAACACAGATTAAAGATCACAAAAAGAAGTACAGGTTTCAGCTGGCTGCGCCCAGCTTTCATTTTCTTCGACTCAAATCATGTGATCGTACTGTAGAGGACATGTGACAGGAAACTGGTCCACCACTTTGTCCAGAGGTTTAACCCTAACCATAATTTTGCGCTACACTTACGCATACACTCACTTTGGAGCATTTAATTTAATTTGATCTGCTTGTGTAGTGGATAGAATAAACGACAGTACGTGAACAGCTAATCAAAAGCCTTTGGTTTAATTGAACACATGAATTGAGTGCATTTTTTTTATGTGAACCCTGCCAGCGTTCGAGCATGTTTTCTCAAATTTAACAATATATGTTGCGCAATAAATCCCCACCCGTCAAAGTAGGTTGCAACATAAAATTTCTAAAATCGTTGTCAAAATCTTTTTTTCTTTTCTGACTGTAATGAATTTTCACTGCGCTTTCACTGTCACTTTGGGTTATACCAACTAAAGTGGGGACTTCAAGTTAGACGATTTTATGAGATTCAAAATATAAAGGGAAAAAATGTTTGTGGCATATTTATAAAATTATATTACACATCTATGTCTTTAATTGTAAAATATGTGATGGAAATTATGCATGTGCTCTCTTACTGTTTTTACCCGTCAAGAGTGGAGCAACCCCGGCTAAACATGAGATGGTTCGGCCCAGAAGGTTGTTGCAATGCCTCTTGATGGGCCACTAGATACACTGAACACAGAATGGCTTGACGGCCCTGGTACATCTCCTTTCTCTGCCGTTTATATCACGTTTTATATACGAGTTTCCGCCGTCGCTGTATAGATTCTTCTTCAGTAAATGTTGGAGACAGGAAAAATAAGCCAAACCACAACTAGTGCAACTGTCTCCCCTCATATTTCGAAAGGTTTGCCAACGGCTCTGCGACGCTGTGTTGTTTGCAGGAAACCAACTGCACCTTTTATCCGGTAACTTCATCTGGTTCCGCTAATGTATAGAGTTACCTGTACACGTTGAAACTCACATCTTACAGTAGGTGGTTTTAAGTTATAACAAATTACTTAAAAGTGGGTGCAAGTGATGTTTTAACGCCAACAGTGAAGGTGCAATTACTTAACACTTGCAACATGGCTGCTGCGGGAACGAGAAAAGTTTGACACTGACGTGAGACAAGTTTTTTGCACGGATGCTAGTTGGTACACGAGTTGTTTGCCACATAATAAAGTCGTCAGCAGTCTCCCCCAGACTGGCACAGCTTTCCCCGGACTCACAATCCAGTGGATGAACCGTGTGAGAGCCCCCTCCTCCTCTGTAGTCGCCGCCGACAGTCACTGCAGTGGACTTTGTGGGTAAACTGTGGTGTCTTCTCCATCGTTAACTGCGGTGGTGGTGGCGTTAAAGGACGTTTCGTCGGGCAGCAGGCTGTGTTTCGAGCTTAAAATGCATTTTTCCATACCCGAAACGGAGGTTCGTTCGGGAGAAAATGGATCAACCTATGTGGTGAGCATGATAATGTGTGGGTTTTATTTATTTATTTATTTTGTCTTACCCGCTTTCCCTTAGCTTGTGTTAAATGCTGGCTTCAGCTGGCCACAGGTCGGGCTAATGTCACTGCAGCACGAGTTTCTCTGTTTACTCTTACAAATGATTTGATAGCATGAGCAGTTTTGTGTCATCATAGGGTAAACAATTGCCTGATGCATCACTCTTGTAAATTATTTGATAGCATGAGCAGTTTTGTGCCACCATATGGTACAACTGCCTGATGCAATAAAAGAAAAACTCAGTTAGAGCACAAAATGCTAATTTGTACCACACTGGCAGTTACAGTTTTTCATAGGGATGCCGTCTAGATAGGTCTATAAGCATGATTTTAGAGAGTTAAAACGTGAGAAAGTTGAGTCACCTCCAATACATCCTGCCTAGACCATCTATGGGCTGAATGTGATTCTGAGAGATTGAAAGCATCAACAGCAAAGTAATCCCTGGTCTTCATCATGATTCAACATCACGTTTGGCATGAACTTTAGGCTGCATTGTTCTGTTGGAACCAATTGTCATGTTGTCATTTACTGTCAAAGCCACCTGAAGAGACTTGAGTGTGCCCCGATCTCTGATTCCTTACTTAGGCACAGCAGAGTCCCTTTTGTTTTAAAGGTCTGAGTCAGCACTTAAACACTGTCTGAAGATTTGAGGTTTGCCGCCATGATATCACATTCTCGCTGTTTAGAGAAAAATACAGCCAACACTGTTTTAACTTTATTGTCAAGTCCCCCATTTAACAGTTAAGTATAGCAGTCTTGACAGCACATCAAGAGCAGCAATGATTTGTGGCTGCATCATCTTGCATGGTTGTTCTGCAGCAGACTCCCATAGCCTAACTGTGTGTTTATTTTCTTTGATTCTATTCTGTTTCTCACATCTTGTCTTAAACGCTTTGAATTGCTGTTGAGTTTGGAAGTTGCTATACATGCTCCGTAGTGCTCAGAGAGGCTAATTCATGAAGGTTGGTCAAGGACAGCTGTAGTGAAGCGTCATGGGCTTTAAAAAATTCTAAGCTTCTGATGATGTTTCACACTGTTTTCCTCATAAACCATGTCCACCAGTCACAGACACTTTTAGGATTCCTTGTGCTAATGTGTGGCAGAGGCAGTATTGTTTAAAAAAAAAGATATTGATTTGTCAGAATATAATATATAATATATTGTCCTTGCTTTATGATTTAGACAACAGCACTGGTGTGAATGTGTGTCTGTTAGCGTGCCTGTAAACCAGACTTATCCATGAACACATTACATAGCAGCTTGGTTTCAAGCTTATTTCCTCTCAGTAACAGATAAAAGATGAATAAACACTACAACAACAAATAATCATAGATTAGAATAATAGATCTGTAGTTTTCATTTCAGATGTCTTTTGTATAGAAGAGTGCAGTTACTCATATTCACCAGATGCTTTGAAATAGCATCTGCAACATCTGATTTCCATGTGACATCACACTGGCGGATCTCAGTGTCATTCTCCATCTTGACTTGAAAAAAAACCTTGGAATTAGCTCATTAATATTTGAACATGTCAATGTGTTCACTGTCATTGTTGCCTAAAGTACAAACTTAGCTTATGACATTTAAATGTACTTTTTCTGAAGTATAATATGTGCAGGAATTGGATTTTAATTTAATGTAGTTAATTCCCCACCACATTGTTATGCAACACCTACTCTTGCTGTTGAAAGTCAATATGGTTCTTAATTGAGCATTTCAGGTAAAATCTCTGGCTTGTTTCCACCTGGTTGGACACATTCTTAGGCTGTACTGCAGTGGGAAGTTTAAAGCAAGGTGTTTTCACCTCTCAGCTGGCAGACTGTCATTGCGACCTTCCTGTAACCAGCCCACAGGAAGGGACTTTGCTTGATTATAATGCTGAGAGATGAGCTGTGTACCTTGGAACCAGTAGGCCACAGAATCTGCCGCGTTTGCACGGGGATTTTTAGAATAACAAGGGCGGCAGTTTTCTTTTTTTAAATATGGTGCGATGTGCAAGCACAGACAAATCTGAGCTTTTCAGTGCTCACACTTCCTCTCGTCTGGTACACTTGTATCTTCCTCTCTGGTTCACTTGGTATTTATAGTGTTTTCTTTGAGTGTTTGTGGGTCCGTAAATGACAGATGACAGACTTTGGTGCTACTGCAACTGATGATGACTCATTTACTTTGGATGAGGAACAGGTTAGGACTTATATGATAAAGGTTAATCTTTTATGTTTATAGTTTTGGAAAACATGGGAATCATCCTTAAAAGAATGCCTTTTAGGGGTGGCTGTAAAATAATATCACAATATTTCAGGCATTTCTGTAATAATGATATTGTTGACGATATGACAAAACACTGAAATATTTGTTGTGTAGAACTCAAAATAGCTGTTGTGCTCTCCTTGTTTTTTTGGGGTTTTTTTTTTTTTTGCTAACCTCGCACTCAGCCTGTTGCTTCTGCTTAAATAAGTTTGTTGTATTGCCCCTTTCTGTTATTACAGTCTTGTTGCACTGACTTACGTATTCTGGGTTTTTCCTGCATAGAGGAATTTTTGGCGACCCCAAAGAGGTTCCGATCATACTTACTGTAGTGCGAATCCCCCCTCCCCCCCCAAAGGCCCATGGCTCATTCTGAGCCAGGAAAATCCTGGTATTGCCATGGTACATCTGATCTTTTGTAACCAAACTTCTTTCACACTACTGAAGTTGCTCCCCTTTTTGGAACTAACCTTTTCACCGTGCTTGTTGTTGCTGTGCGGAAAGGTATGACGTCTTTACCGCGACAAGTTGCCATTATCATGATATTGTTGTTTTTATTATATAAAAAATTATACCAATATATCAGGACTGACATCATTTGGCAATATGTATAAATATATAAACTTAGCCAAGGCAAGTTTATTTGTATCTATAGCACATTTCAACAAGACTATTCAAAGTCATTTCCATAAATCTTAAAAGTAACATAGGGCAATCGCAAAAGCCATAGAAATACAATTTAAAAAGAGTCTAATAAAATAAAACAGGAAAGTAACAGTTACAGTTCAGTGTAAGATATTAATCAAAAGCCTCAAATTTGATTTAAAGAGGTGGTATTATGCTCATTTTCAGGTTCAAAATCCTATTTAGGGGTTGTACCAGAACAGATTTACATGGTTCAATTTTCAAGAAACACCATTTTTTTTTTTTCATACTGCACATCGCTGCAGCTCCTCTTTTTACCCTGTGTTGAAGGCTTAATTTTAGCTATGGAGTGATACATCTTGTCGCTGAATGATCTTTGTTGGGAGTTGCACATACATAGTTCCTAGTTAAGGACTACTAGCTAATCAGAAGCAGAAAAGGGCCGGTCAGCTAGAAGCCCGTAAACAGCTTCGATTCTGCTGTAGGCTACATGTTGCTGACCAGCTTGGCAACATGGAGTGGAGCAAGAGTTTCAGAGTGGTGAGTTATTAATCTGTAACAAATATATCTTTCATCCATTAAGTTTTAACTGAGCTCTGTCTCTACATCACAGTAACAACTTTATGTCCATTGACTGCTTAAAGGGTAGCTAGTGTTTAGGAGGGAGAGGAGGTGCGTGCTGCAGCTTAGTGTTTTTCCACTGGTGTTTTTGAAGGCGTGTTGGAGTAGCCGCTTGGCGAGCATTATATGAGGCGCATTTAGCTTTCATCCCTGTGACGTCACAAGGATGAAAAGGAAGCGGCTGGACTACAAACGAGTTATTTTCAAGACTTCAGCCTTGATTTTAAAATAAGTGTTTCTCTTTTTGGGGGGGGGGTTGAAATTCTTAAAATGAGCACCTTTCTTTGAATTCGCCAGACTAAAATTGATGTCATCGTTCATACATCATTGTGTGGCGGAAGGAGCTTAAATATGCACATCGCATGTAGCTGCAGGGCTATAGGAAATAGGCAATGATTAGAAGAACAACGCCTGCACACTGACTCCAAACTACACATTTATTTAAAGGTTCTGTGTATGAGATTCTGAACATTTAATATAGCAGCCAACAACTATTTGCTATGTAAAGATATAGTGGGTAATGGCGTCCTGAGCAGAGAATGTCACCCCACGGTTAGGATCTTACTGTTTTCCAAAATGTTGTCATGTTGCACTTTTAGTCGTTGTATGCTAGTTTGACCCGGAACATTTGTCCCCAAGGATGACCTCGCAGCCTGTTTCGCGGCTGTCGGTGAAGGCATAGAGCCAGACTATTTTGGTGAATTAAGGGTTTCTTTCATTTAAAACAGAGTTGTTGACAGGGGAACGAAAAAAGATGGTTTCGGTTAGTTTTATTTTGTTTCTGTCCAGTTTAAGTGCGGTTTATGATGATCTGCGAGGTGAAATTGCTCCACTGAGATCAAAATGGTCAATATTTAAATACATTTTTGGTTTGGACTTTGTGTGCAGAAAAGAGTAGTAGATCATAGTGGTTATAGTCAAAGGAATTTGCCATGTTGAACTGTCCCTCAGTTGAACTCATCCATTCAAACTCTTTGGTTATTTTTTTGTTTTATCATTCTGCATACTCATTCTTCCTTCCTGCCTGGATACTGCTTACATACACATCTTTCAGTTGATTCATTGGCCTTTGTCCAGGATTCTTAAGCCTTCCTCTTTCCCTCTAGAGGTTTTGGTTTGTACTTAACTTTGTTTTACTATTGATTGGTAGAGTAGGTCCGTAATGGCTTGCGCAACTGCGTGCAATAGTGTGCTCAGGGGTCTTCAAAACTTTTGTTTGTTTTAACAGATGACCCACCATGTTGACTATAAATATTCATTGAGACAGAAGGGGAAGGAGATTAAAGCGCTGAAGGTTTGTGCTTTGACACCCAAATGGGAAATCTCTTCGACAAACATACAGAACACACTCCCTTCTCTCATCCCGGCTGGAGTTGTACACAGGCTGGTGGAGGCTGAGGTTTCTTAGCAAATGAAGCATAATTTTATCCCAGTATGATTTTCCTCAATAACAATATAATAAATGTTCAATAAATGTTTGATTTAATTCCTTTGAATCACAAACAAATTAGTCCTTAATTTTTCTATTAAGGTATTTATTTTGTTGAGGAAAAGGGACTGAAAAAAGAGATTACTTAATTTTTCTCATCCATATTTATTTGTTTTTTTAATTGTGATTTTAATTGTTTTGAATGTTCTACCTCAGATAAATAATAATTTAAACTTGAAAAAAATTAGGATTTCATCTGATTTATCGTGATAATAATATCAAATTATATGAATTTCTTTTATAGTAATAATAACATTTTTGGCCATATGGCCCAGCACTAGTTAAACATTTGTCTCTTGGAAACAACTGACCTAATTCAGTTTTTAGTACATGGTCAGTACTGTAAGTCAGATGCAGTATTCTAAAGAGAAAAAAAAAACGACATTTTGGGAAATATTCTCTCACTTTCTGGCCGAGATTTAGATTGAAACCACAACAGCTAGCCTTTCTCAGTCCTAAGGTAACAAAATCCACTTACCAGCACATCTGAAGCTCACTAATTAACTAATATCTATTTTTGTGTGGAAAAACATTAAATGTGTAGTTTTAAAGCAGTTTACGTGCAAAACTGTTTCTTGGCCCTGTTTGCTGTTTCCCCCATTTCCAGTCTTTGTGTTAATCTGAGCTACCCGTCTCTTGGCTGTAGCTTCATATTTAAATGACTGCTTATTTCCCAAATGTCGAACTAGTCCTTTAAATATAAAACATTTTTAATTTTAACATGGCGAATTGCATTTTCAAACAAAGTTTCCTGTTCTCTACTGCCCCAAAGAGTGGAGTAACGTGTGTTTGGTGCTCGGACAACTTAAGATAATAGAAAAACGTATAATAAAGTAATACAGGGGTTTTGAAAAGAAAGAAATAATGATATTTTTTTTTACATTTATTGTGATAATTATCGATATTGAATGATATGAATTCTTTTATTTTGATAACATTTTTGGCCATATCACGCAACCCTAATCTAGCCTAGTTTTGTTTTTTCATTAAAACAATCATTTAGAAAATCAAAATACTACATTCTCTTGCAGTTCAAGGGTGCTGTTCTGTAATTGAGCCAGTGTTTGGGAAAACTTGAAAGATTTTTTTTCTTTTCCTGAGGGTACAACTAAAGCATCACATTGTTATTTTTGTGGTTTTGCATCGTTGCCAACACTTAATGATCAACTGACACAGAAAGAAGATTTACTTTCTGAGATTGGCTCTAAACATGATGACAAGCAGATATTTGGTTTGCTCGTTCCAAATGGTGGTTTTGCGGAGGACTATCCAGTGATATCTCCGTTTCTGTCTGTCAAAACAAGCAGCGGGTGTCTCGGAGAAAGAATTAAAGATTCCCCATGTGTTCCTTGCTTTCTGTATTTGTTAGCTTCTAGGCAATGTAAGGACGAGCTGTTTTGTTTGGAAAGTGTGCAGCAGGTTCTGTTTTCCCCGTTGGAAGTCAGAAGGGTTTGATTGAATCCAATTCACACTTCATTTGTTTGGCCACTCCTAATGAAAGCAAAGTGTGAGGAAACACTCGGGTGTGGGTGGAGACTGAGGTTGTTTTGAGGTGTTGGGAGGGAAATAAGTAGTGAAACTTATATTCAAGGTACAGGATGTTAACTGTTAGGCTATTGCTTCACTGTCTTTCACAAGTGTTTTGTTTTTTTTATTTCTGCACTGAATTTATAACCCGGCAATTTAGGACATGTGTCAGAAATTAGACTGAGATTTGGGCTAATCCATCAAAAGATTTTTTTTATTTACTGAACCCTGTATTTGGGGAAAAAAGGTTGTAAAATATATCTGCCCATCTACATATATTATGTCCACCTATAAGCTTATCAGACAGATCGCGCTTTTGATAAGTTTCTCTGCACTGTGTGAGACCTTCACGCAGTCTTTCTTCTCACATTTAAATTTGTCCCCGCTCTTTCCCACAGGCCTACAATATCCACGTCAATGGTGTGCTACACTGTCGGGTACGCTACAGTCAACTTCTTGGCCTCCATGAACAGGTATGTCTTCAACCATCACAATAAACCCATTGTGGTGACTGGTCTGTATGTGAGGCGCACTGAAAGCTGTTTAAATGCCGCCACATCCACCCACGGTGACCTTTCGCTCGTCTTTGTGTTGCATGGTCGATACGCCAGCCTCCCATCACTTTGAATCACGACCACGGTGGCTTGAAGTCTTGTGCTGTTATTCCTCCCTTCCTCAAACTATTGCATGTAAATAGGCAGTATTGTGCAGGAGGTTGGAGGGGGGTGGGCGACATGGAAAGAATGTTCTTGGCCTTTCTTTCACTTCACCTGCTGGGAAAAGGAACTTAAGCTGAAAAAGAATAGTTGTTGGAAAGTGTTGAGTTGCTTGGTCTTAAGCATTTTTTGGTCTCTGCCTCAGTGAAGCTCCAGCTAGGCAATGTTTTGTTAGGCAATTAGTATATTTAGCACCTACTTGTTTTTCTGTAGTGCTGTGGTTGAAATGCACTATATATATATATATATATCCCCTCCTTAACATGCTCAAGCAACTGATGTTGCAGAGGTAGATGCATTGTCTGTAAGAGATGGATTTGTTTGCTGCATTTGTAGCTGACTACCTGTGAGCTCTTTGTGCTGCAAAATGTACACCACTGCATGAAACACATGCGTCTTACAGAAGTGCCCAGTCTCCTGTTTTCACACATTAATAATTAAACAAGCAAGGGCCAAACTTTGCTATCTCCATCCTCAAGTCTGTGTTATCCAGCCTGACAGTTGCTGTTGCCTGGCAACAGGGTGTAGGGAAGACACACTCGAAGCTTTAAGAACCAACCCTCACAGGGCTTCCTGTGGCGTACGCATGACCCCAAAACACTCCAGTGATTGCGGGGCTCACACTCTACCCACTTACCGCTGAGGAAATTTGAATGTTAATTGTTTCGCTTTTTTTCTGTTCTATAAAGATTTCTAACAAGGTCACACTTCTGCCTGATCCAAAGCTTGTTTAAGACAACGGTGACTACAGGGCATGTTTTGCTAAAAAGAACCTGCATGAGCTCAGATTTCTTTCCCATCTGTAACCTGTGCTCAGTGTCTGTGGCTATGAGCTGATTTTGTATGTGTAACCAGCACTGGCTCTGAAGTACTGAAAATACCAAAGGGCAGTGCGTTGGGGTGAAAAGCACCCCTCTCCCTTTTAGTACGTTCATCATCCCATATGTGCAGGAGTGTTTTATAACGAGAACAAAATGTGTCTGTAATTCCTAATGAGTGTGATGTACAGCTTTTGCCTGCAGCAGCATTCAAAATGAAAGCACATTTGACGTGTGATGTTGAGGTTTGTGATGGCTTAGTTTAAGACTTCCAAGGTTTAAAGTAAGTTACTAGGCCTCAGATGATAGAAAATGGGAATAAATTAGTCAAGAAGCTGGAAGACAAAGTAAACTTGGAATGAACAGACGGCGCGGAAACTCCACTAGCTAGTTATTGAAACGGGGCTTAAAATAAACCTGTGATTCATCTCAAACAGCATGAATGTACCTCTTAGAGAAATGAATGCACAACTCTTTAAATCTCTGTACTGTTGAGTAATTGAGTTAGGCATATGATCTTGTACATGTGGGTTCACAGATTTAATCTTCTCAAATTTCTGTTGTCAGAAGAACAGAAATACAGTTTGTATAGTCTGCTAACCTGCAGTCTCACCTTCACCAACCTGCATTTTGTGCCAACAGATAAAGAAAGAATATGGAAGCAACGTGGTGCCTGCATTCCCTCCAAAGAAGATCTTCACACTGACTCCTGCTGAGGTTGAACAAAGACGTGAACAGCTGGAGAAATACATGCAGGCTGGTGAGTTACTCGTGATGAATAGACCATTTACAGATGGCTTGTATAGCATTTCACTGCATTAAATTCCAGGCTACTTTGAGGTGGTTTTTGTCATTTTTTAAATGGGATACTATTCTTCTATGAGTGGAATAGCAGTATAGATGTCCCTGACAATTTATTCCCCCCTTTTTTTAAGTATGGGGGGAGGGGTAACTTTGCAGCACAAACACCATATCCTTGAAATATTTGCTTTTCCACAACAATCGCAAGAATGATTTGGCTCGGTGTCTGCGGGGAGTCCAGCCTTGCACAGGTATCTTCATGCCACATAAAAGCATGATAGTGCTTCACTAAAGAACTGATGACTTGAGCACAGAGTGCACTGGGAGCCAAAGCTAAGAGTTGTGCTGACACACCTGATGAACAAAATAAATCCCCAGTCAGAATTTCAGACCTGGTAGGGTATATTGAAAGTTTTATAGGTATAGATCCTTTATGGATGGGTTATGTGCCACCTCTAGGGGCTGACTTAATATCTGAATACCATAAATAATAGTTCAGATGTTCAGAGAGACAGTAGTTTTTATATAAACATGCCGCATGACATTTTTAAAAGCTTTCTTTCCCAATTCTTAAATCATGTTCAAGAACCCACTTGGGAGTTCTGAATTCCTAATTGGGAGGTTTTCAGCACATTGCCCAAATTTTGTAAACGGGTCGAGGGTGAGCTTTCTGCGTACACACATGAATAAGTGAGCTGGCAGCAAAGTAGAGGGTTTGTTTTAATCCTCTCAAGGACTAGCAGTTACAGCAGAACAAGGAAGCGTTGTTCGAGTGTGTATTTGCTCATAGTCTGGGAGCATACGCTCACAGGGTGTTCTTGGCTACAAGTTCACTTGGTTACATCATGGCTTTTTACATAGTTATGGAAAATGAACTGCCTCAAACACAATCTGCTCTGACGCAAATGGCTCAGAACTTTGACATTTTGTCAAAGGGTTAGGTGAAAATAGTAATTGGACAATAGTGTACAGGCTGACACACATTTATTTAGTCATACTGTAGTGACACGGGGTTATCATGCAAATAATTTAATTCACTGCTCTGCATCTGAAAACGACCTCAGTAGAAAACCAAAGACATGAGCATAACGGAGTTTTTTATCTTGTGTGTTATTTACCAAATCTGGGGCATTACAAAATGATGAAACTGGTTTGTAATAATTTACAGATAATTGAACCTATGCCAGATATCAAGTTAATGCTGTTTTGTACTGGCGTCCTTTCATAAAGTGCAGGGTTTTTTGCACGTTGTGCTAAATTTTCTTGGCAAATGTCTTGAAAGGTCAAACCCATTTAACAGGAACAAAAGGAAATTGCGTGAAAAGAGGAAAATTAAGAATTGGGAAATGGCTCTCGCCTGAGGAGGTTTATGTTTACATAACATCCAGAAATATACCCTTAACTTATTGCTGAGTTATCAATTCAAACGCAGTGAGATATTTTGTACTCATGTCGCCATTTTGTTTTCTCTAATTTCTCCTGTTGATTGCTTCTACAGTGCGTCAGGATCCCTTGCTTGGAGCCAGTGAGATGTTCAACAGTTTCTTAAGGAAAGCACAGCAGGTTGGTGTTTTGTTAATGTGCTGTACCTGCATTAGGCTTTTGCGTCAGCATGGTCAACAGGCCTGTGAGGAGGCAGGGTGTGCACCTTGAACCAAAAGGCTAATACAGTCATTTCTTCTCGGGCCAGTAATTACTTTAGGCAGTGAGGTCGAGTGAGGTAGCTGTATCCTTACTGTTTGTCGCAGTTTGTGGCAGCATGTACTCTTATCTTGGGTTGTGTCTTCTGTACATGTTAAGTGGTTGGTTAGATATGTCATTCAGGTTTGGCTTGCATGCAGAAATGTGCGAAATGATTGCATCAGACATGAAGCTGAGGGGAAAGCAACCTTGTGCAACATAGTTGCATCGTGTGTGGGAGCTGGATCCTTTTGAACCATTATATCATGAAAAAAAGGAAAAATGAGCCACCTAATGATTCATCCCACCACATTTGCCAAAAGGTTCTTTCTGCAGTACTAAAATGCGAGCAAATATAAGCTGAAGTGGATGATGCTGTAAGAACACAACTCATAGTGTGTTGTTTCTGGCTATAAAAGGCTATTTCAAACGGATGGCGTGTGAATGACTTATTCCGACGACGTAGCGAGGTTGATTCGTCATCATTCAAGCTGTGACCTGCGTTGCTAGGAGGGCTGTAAATCCAATAACCTTCATGGACAGATTCATCTGTCTGCAGCCACGTCACATCCATTCTGCTTATCCTCTTCTGCCCCCCCCCAAGCCCACCGCCATCCGCCCTCCACCCTCCACCCAGAGCCTTATGTACTGCGAGGACAGCAGGTGCAGAATAGGAGATGAGTTATCACCCGGCGTTGTCATTTCATCTGCACCTTTTAGTGGTAGGGATATACTCTGAGAGAAGCCCCCACCACCACCTCTCCAGCTGGGGGAACAGGGAAGATGAAAGATACTTAGCAGAGGTGGTAAGAGACTGCCTGGGGACAGGAGAAGCCACGGTTATTCAGTTTAAGATTTTATAGTTCTTAAAATCAGCTCAGAAGCTATTATTCAGAGATTTGAAATATTCATATGTTTTGGCAGTTAGGCTTACTTTCCTTACTTGTTTTGATTTGATTTTTGTGTGGTTTTGTTCCAACATCTGCCTCGTTCAGTTAAGGAATGAACAGAAGCACAAACACAGCAGTACTAATGAATACAGTTGCCTTGATGTCTGGGCGAGCTGAGAGTAGTGAAATAAATGGATGGGATTACTAGCTGCAACAATTAGTCAGTTATTAAATTAGTTGATTGACAAAAAATGAATCTGCAACAGTTTTACTGCTCCCAGGTCCTTAAATGTGAATATTTAATGATTGCAAACAGAATATGTTTTGGGTTTTGAAATTTTGGTCGGACAAAAGAAGACATCATTTGACATTACATATGATTTTGTTTTGCCTTAAATCAGCACTCAGTATCTGCCTAATCTGTCTGTGCCAATAAAAAGTCAGACTTCATTTCATTTGTGGCAGAAAAAAAAATCCTCATCAAGTAGCCTTGATTTTTTTTTTTTTTCTTTTTTTTTGTGCGTCTTCTCCATCTGACTCAAATCTCAACACACTTTTATTGTGTTTGCTAAAATTTCTTATTTTACACGTGGTGAATGAACCTTGGTACCACTAGAATCGATGTAGCTGCACTTGTCTTATCTTTAGTGTCAAAGGTTAAAGAGGAAAAGTGTAAGAGTACTTCCACTCTACTTTATTTGCCATTGCATGATAGGATTATGAAGCGCTTTATGAAAAGTGTAAAGATGGAATGGTTTAGCATGTTTTGTTTTTTTTCTCCACTGGAAACTTAACTCCTCTCTGACCACCCTGTGTTGTTTCTGCCGAATGAGTGAATTGGTGTGATTCTTTTTGTTGTTGTTGACCGACAGGAATGAAAACACGTAGCTTACCCATGAAGCTGAAAGGGAAAGCCTGTTGTGTTTTGTGTCGTTCCCACAGGAGACGCAGCAGATTCCCACAGAAGAAGTCGCTCTAGACATCTGCCTCTCGAACGGTCAGAAGGTTACAGTCAACATTCTGACCTCAGATCAGACGGAGGATGTCCTTGATGTAAGTGCCTGGGTGTGCTCTTTCAAAGAACGCACAAATGCACCGTTTTCCAGCCAGTATTCTACTAGTACATCATTTATAGAAATTTCTAATTCAATTTTGTAATAAAACGTTATACAAATTAAACATTTGTATGGAAAACAAGTGTGTTTAGGTTGCTCCCCAAAAGTGCAACATGGCTGAATGTTTCAATCCAGTGATTAAAGGTCCTACTTATTATTAGAGATGATGAGCGCATTTAGTAAATAAACCTCTTTAGTGTATAGAGTTTGTATAATTATGTTTGTTATCAACCTTCACAGTGTTTGTGTATGTTTAACGAGAGGCATTTGGTATGTGCTGTTCTTAACGGCACTGACACTTGACTGATTTTAGGGAAGCTGTATTGCTGTAGACTCTTCTGTAAGCTTTACAGACATTCATTTATGTAGACCCTCTTTACCAAAGCAAAGATGAAATGATTTCATGAAGTCAGGGCTACTTTGATCTGACTAATCAAAACAAAGCACACTGAATAGCAAGTTGAAAAGGCTTTACAAGCCTACTGGATCTAAGAATGTAATAAACCTTGGGCAGGTTAAGTCTTAGCACCCAGGATGACATGAGATAACAAAGCAAATAGACAAAAACAAACACCATTCTCAACATGTTTTTTTAAAATATAGGTTGTTTGTTTAATACGTTTTTTATATTTTAGCACATCCACCTGACGTAAAAAACAAACTCTCATCGTAGTAAAGATGCTGATGTTTCATCATGATGTCCTTTGTCACTCTTGGCTGTAAATCAAGCTTGTTAGAGTGCTCACATGAAAGTTTAACCACAGGTTTAACCTCTGCGTGTGTGTGTGTGTGTGTGTAAATTCTAGGAATTAAAAAACAGGCCACAGAACAAATGGTTGTACATGTGAAAACACATCAGCAAATATTGTAAATATTTGTATCACAGAAAGCCATTGTTCTGTGTGAGAAAATAATGAGAATGCTTAGTGCAGTTCTTGGAAAGAGATGATTAAATAAAAAAATTTAAATCTTGTATCAGAAACTAATTACATTTTTTATCGATATGGCTGCTTGGGTGAATTTCATGCTCAACTCAACATCAGCACAATAAAAACCCATAGAAAGTCAGTCAGTGTTCAGTTTCATTATTCTGAAATGTAGTTTATGTCTTGCAAACATAAATGGAATCAAAATAATTCAGATAAAATTACAAAACAAAGCACATTCATCTTCTTAAACCTAAAGGAGTCTAAATTAATCCTGTTTAAGACTACGACACATTATTTGCCAAATCCACCTCCATTTAAAATCTGCCACGTTCGAGTTAGTTGTATAATAGAGATGGTAAAGTGTGATTGTGGTGGTTATTGGTGTTGGGCAAGTTACTTACAAATTGTAATATATTACTAGTAACGTATTACTCCTTACAAAAGTAATATTACTACTTATTACTGGGTGGTAAAAGTAACTAGTTACGTTGATGGTTACGTTAGGCTACTATATTACTTAATGTGTTTCTAACAGAATGACAGCGGGGGAGGGGGGGGTGGTACAGCGAGAGAGAGAGAAAGAGGGAGCGAGTGAGTGAGAGGAGGTGTACGAATAGGCTAAATGCTCCTCAATAAAATATGATTTTAAATATGCCTAGTAAAAAGAAATAGTAAATCAATATGTGGCGTTCAGCATTGATAATTATCCAAATTATAGGCTAATTATGGGAAACCCTGCTTTCACTACCACCCCCCTTCACCCCCATACAAAGCAGTTTGACTGACTTTTTAACTAACATCATAGGCCTATTCATTACAGCAGCAAGGACTGTGTTTTTTACAAAACATATAGCCTAACGTTTCTTAACGGCACCGGCTGAAATAAAAAAATTAAGCAAGTAAATACTGACTTTTGAACAGCTGTTTTTCTGCACATGTAGCCTATTTATAAGAGCAGTGTTCTGTAGTTACAAAACGTTACGTTACGCGAAAGAACGCCTCTCTCCCTCGTTCTCCTTTCTTCCTTTAGTTGGTAGTAGTTAGGACATGAACAACAGAAGGTCGGGTGCTGCTGACCTGCTGCACAGTCGCACTTTCACATCAAGGATGGTGTGTTCAGTAATGCAGCGTTACTTGGATTAGTAACTGTAATAATATTACTGTTTTAGAAAAGCAATTAGTTACACCACTAGTTACTGGGAAAAGTAATATTAGTTACTGAATAACGCATTACTGCCCAACACTGGTGGTTAAATCTAATTTTTGATCTACTGGATATCCAGTCTTCTTTTTCCAATTTTCCACTTCATACTGAGCTGTTTTTTATCACATCTGTCTTCAACCTCTTCATTCTTCATTTCCCATTTTAAAAATAAATAAAAAAAGTCAGATTGAATTTGATTGTGAAAATGAACACTCTATATTTAAATATCTCGTCTTTCTGCAGGCTGTTGCAACGAAGCTTGACCTTCCCGACGAACTTGTTGGCTACTTCAGTCTCTTCCTCGTCCGTGAGGGTGTGGATGGAGGTTTAACATGTAAGTCTCAACACTGATTTCCTAAAGAATCCGAGGAATGCATGGGATGGAAACCTCAAATATTTCCCTGTCATTACTAATAGAAAGTAATGTTCCATTTAAATGATTAATTAATGGTTAATATAAATGGCATAGAGGGAGCAAAGTAATGTATCAGGAAAAGAAATCCATTATTCATTACTGCTGATTTATTTTGTTTTGAGTCACTCTAGAATTTATTTTTAGATATTTCTTAAAAGGGCTTTAGGTTTTTTTGTGGAAACACTACAGCTGGAAACCAGATAACTAAATGTGCAGCATATGTAGCACTTTGATAAAATAATGTAAATTCAAACTATTTTTCAGGTCAGGCAAGGACCTTTCTCAGTAGACACGCAAACCACACAGAACTTGGAGGACAAATCATTCTTATAAACGGAGAAACAAAAGCGGCTAGGAGTTGGAATTAAACGATGTAACGTTTATGTTTCACTGGAGACTTTCTGGGCAACCAAAGGGATTATTTACTGTAATGTCACACTTTTGATTTTAGTTTTTTTTTTACTTTGAATTCCCTTCAATGAGGCGTAAAGACTTGGCTCTGGCAACACACCAGCAGCTCAGTTAATCTGCCTCACTGTTTGGAGATGTGCTGTAGTTTAATTAAAAAAAGTAGAACGCATCTCCCCATGAGAGTTCTGTATGTACTTCTGTATCCTATACTCTAGCTAGAATGCATAATTCATTTATTAGGCGTGCTTGTCGGCCAGTTGGTGATAAACAGTTGCAAAACAGGCTGTGTGCCGTGTTATCAGGTTGAGAATGTAATTGCTGTGGTCTCGGCTCAAAAATTTGACACTTCGGCAGCTGCAAAATGGCATTGGGTTCACAGGCCAGTGTCTGATTAGTGAATACGTTTTTCCAGAGACTGCAAGAGAGGTCTACCATTTCTGTAGACTATCCAAATGAATTTGCAACAACATGAGGGCACTCAAAGAAGTAGATATTAGGAGTAATAAAAACTTAAATAAATAAAATCTGAAATAGAAACAGGAAAAACTAGGTCCATACTCTAAATCTTTGTAGAATTGTAGTTGGTGCAAGTCCATTTGCTTTTTCCCTCTGTATCAATATGACAAGGTGCTTTATTGGAATGCAAAGATGAGTGTTAGGCAATCTATACATACGCAGTAATGTGCAGCTATTTAATATAAAGGTCACATCACTAGGTCTCAAAAGTGAGTCTTATAAAGACAGAGCATGATTAAGTCCTGCCCACACCGGAGGGGAAAATGGTTCATCACAGTCACTCTCTATTGACATTGTACTGCGTGAAGGTGCCTCCTTGTCTCTACGGTCTGCTAGCACACAGCAGAAAAACGCCTAAAAGCTGCTGTGTGTTGGGATGCACTACCAGGGTAAATAACCCAGAACTAAGTTTTTATAAGCTGAGCTTATTATCTTAAAAACTGAGCTTTTAAGAAGATAAATGTGGATACAAGCAATAAGATGTGAGGCATCAGCAGGAGGAATGTGCAGTCCTGACACTCCGTGAGCAGCAAGCATTTTTTTTCAAACTGTCAAGATTGAATCTAACAACCGGTTTTGATCCTTTTTAGGTTCAATGATGATCTTATCTGGTGATTTGATCAAATAGATAGAAATAGTAAATATCAAAGCACTTTACTTCTGGCATTCAGTGGGATAATTTCTCCAATAAAAAGCGAGGTAAGGAGAAAGGACACTGACATAGTCTCACAATATTGAGTTTGTCAATATACTTTTCCACTCTGGTATACATAGGGTGCTAAAATAATCTGACATGCTGAAATCTAATGTTTTTAGCTAGCTAAAGGCATTTGTTAGCATTTCAGTCCTTGGTTGCGCTGATTGTTTTCCCTCTGTTGGGCGTGGTTTTCACAGTATGACACGTTGTGCACGTTGTGCACAGGCACACGTTGTCTCTATTTGGTTGCATGACAGTTAGCTGTACTTGTTAACCCTTTAAATGTATGTAAATGCCCATTATATACCTCTTAGTCAAAGCAGTTCAGTTTGCCATGATTGCGACTTTGTTCCTCATTTACTGAGAAGCTTCGCACATATTTATTTGTATTCACTTGTTTACTTAAAAGTAATTGTGTTAAGGAAGTCATAGCAGAATATTTGCATCTGCATTTGTTGTCACAAGAAATGCCGAAGCCGCACAGCCATAGAGGTTTCCTCATCAAGATTTTTCGTTTGTCCATTCCCCTTTTTTCCATTTCATCACAGCCCTGTCGGGTCAAATCCCTCCCCTCAGTCCCAAAGGTTCTCTTCTCTCGTCGTCCACCTGCCAAATGCTCCCCTACTCCTCACGCCAAATTCCAGGCTGAAAATGGTGCCAGGTGAACTTGAAGGAGTCTGTAAATATTGCAGGCATGTTGTATATTCTTGGCACAGATTAAATCTGAAAAACTTGAGCAGTATGAAAGGGAAGGGCCGTGTGTTAAAAATGACTCGACTGCTAGAAAAAATCCGGTGCACCAGGCCTTGGATCAAACACAACTGGTGGGAGTATTGACATAACAGGATAGCTAGAAGAATTCATTTCCTCTCTGACAGGCAATACGTTTCCCAGAAGTCTGTGTGTAAATCAATATATGCTGTAAAATATGCAAAGATATGTCGAGAAGAACCACTATGTGGTCTGAAATAACAGTACTGGTCTCCTTTATGTGTATTTTGTTATTTTATTTTTTTTGCAGTTTTCTGCTGACAATTTAATCCGCCTAAGAATGTTCCAATACATTTTCAGTTTGTATCTATTTTGTTTGTTTTTTTCCAAAATGAAAGTAACCCACAGTTTCTTCTTCACGTACAGAGTATCTCTGCTCATAAAGGAGTAAACCTACATCTACTAACCTAATAGCTTTACTAAAGCCAGTCATCGGATTTGTAGAGTTGTGCACATTTATTGATGCCGGAAAACCCAGCATCAGCAAGCACCTGAGAGCTCCGTCTCTCTCCTCAGGGAACAGGCCGCAAAACAAACAGCTGCAGATTAGGGACAATCGCACACATAGAGCACATTATCTTCTTTTTCCACATTTGAATACTCATATACACACAGACACACACACACAAGTTTTACCCTGCTGGGACCTGTCCAAATGGAGCTCTCCCATCCCTCATTGTTTGTTACCACCATTATCCAAATGTCCTTGGGACTTCACTGGAGCTCTGCTTGTTCCTTACTCACTCTCTCTCTCTCTCTCTCTCTCTCTCTCTCTCTGTCTACTTGTGTCTCTCTCTCAGTTGTGCGGAAGCTGCAGGAGTTTGAGCTGCCTTATGTATCCATTACCAGCTTGCGGAGCTCTGAATTTCACATACTCCTACGGAAAAGGTACCCACCATCTGCTCACATCATGACTTTGAATTTCATCTTGTCCCTCACAAAATGCTCTCCTCCACATGTAATTCTAGCGGTGATTTACTGTCAAGAGTAGTCATGTGTTATTTATCTAATCCTGTAAAGAAGCAGGTCAGATATTGCTGTTTTGTAAGCAAAACATAAACTACATCGGCAGTACATGGTCTAATTTAATTCAGTCAACCAGCAAGGCACTTTGCATTCTGGGTGTCTCTCTTTTCATTCCTTATCAGCAGTGAAACACTTGCTCTTAATGTGTCAGAACAGCGGTTAAACTAACCACAGGCTGCATATCAGACTATCAGTCAGACCGTCTTCTACAAAGTGGCACTTAATTTGGAAAAGAGACCTGAGTCATTTGTTGTAGAATTTCTTTTGCCAAGGACCGTAGTTATCATGGTGGTCACAGCAGAAAAGTCAGAAATTAGCAATTTGTTGTTGCTGTAGCAACAACAAATTGTGTAGGGGCTCGACAATAAACAGAATTGATCAAATTACATCCTCGCAGCTGAAAAGGACCCATATTTCAGTTTTCAATTTCTGTCCACAAACAGACAATAGCCTTCAACAACCAAAAGTTTAACCAACCAGTAAGCTAACAGCCCAGCATCTTAACTGGTCATACTGTACTTAAACAGGACAAACGAGTGCTGCTTATATAACATCATCTCTTATATATCATTGAGAACTGGACACGCTGGAATCAGGCGCATCATTTTGTATCTCATTTAAACTCGTTTTCAATGATCATTAAGAAAATAACAGCATATACTATAGCTGTAATTTCTTAACAAAATATTGACATTAGCAAATTCAGAATGGCTGTTGTGAAGGTGGTTGGCACTGGTGCAGGGTGGGCGGCTTCACCAGAACATGGCGACTGTCTAAACTTGAAACCCTTGTTTATATTCACCCAGCTACATGAAACAAAACTCTGTCTTTAAACTTCAAAATAAAACAGTAACCAGTAGCATATCCATAAACTGCTCCAACAGCAGCCATGGTGTTTTTGAACAATATTTCCTTTTACAGAATGTAAAGTGAGCGAGCATCTGTCACCAAGAGGTGCATGTCACAAAAAATACAAAAAAAACCTTCCTGGGTGTGCCACCCAAACAAATTCCATGCATGGAAAATACTGATGTTGCTTCCCCATCAAGCCGGAAGTTAGCAACTACTCCCCTCTTCAACATAACACTTTTGTACTTCCTCATGTGTCTGTTCTTTCGTCACCCTGCCTCCCACTGACTGAGGTACACAGGATGTTTACTTTCTTTCTGCCTCAAGGAAAGTCTTAGTCCTCCTGACCTAGTTTCTCTGTGGAGTGTAGAGCAGCGAGGGAAGAATGAATGTAGAACTAACAAGTGGAGGAAAAACAGACCCCCATTATTTTGAGGTCCTGGGGAGGGATAGGTCAAAACGAATCGAAAAGCTCTTTTTGGATAAAAGTGCATGCTTAAAATAAAGGAAATTGTGTTTCTGTCTGGTGAAAACATTGAATCTATATTATGTCAACTTTTTTTTTTTTTTGTGTTACAGCATTCTCTAAAGCATTCAAAAAATTAAAACAGGTATATGAGTAGAATTGGAGGTTTTTGTAGGTCAGCAGGAATATGCACTTTTTACATATAATGCAAATTGGTGGATAATTGATCATTTTGTTCTGTATATGCAGTAAGAGAATTCAAAAGAAAGGCCACATGTCTTAGCTGGGGCTTTTAGTGCACTCCTAATTGAAACTAAAGCAGTGAAATAAAAGCACTGACACACTTATTCCCTTCCTTCCCTTCCCCTTTCACTGCCTTTTAATCTTGTTCTCCCTTGTTACCTGCTATGAATTGCTGATGTGACCAGGCAGCATGCTTCGCGTCTGCTTGAACAACTTCTCCGTCCACCAAAGCCCTTCGTGTCATGAAATTACAACATGTTGAATTTCACTCCTGTAGTAAAGTGTTGCAAGACATGAATGCAAAGAGAATTTGTTTTGCCAAAGGGAAGAAGCGGATAAAGAATCCAGTGCTCTTCTAATTAAAGACAATAATACCCTTGACAGTTAGATAAAGACATTTCAGATCACATGTTTTTTTTTAGTCGGTCTTTACTCTTTTTTTTGTTGTTTGTGTTTTTTTGTTTTTTTATCAGATTTGGTAATTTCAGATCTGATCCCTCTGAATTCATGTTTTTTGTTGTTGTTTTTTTTTTAACGTCACGCTCCACTCCACAAGGCTGCCCTCCGGCACCCACACATCTCTATGCATCGAAGTACCAGCAGTGGCCTCTAATACAACTACCGTGCTGCCTACAAAACTTTGTACCGTCTTAACTCACACACCCTCTTCAGCAGACCAACTGTCCTTCAACCTCTACAGGAAATAATCCTTGAGATGAATACTTAGACTGCTACTACCATTGACATTTAGTTGAGGAATTTTGCCTTTAATGTATATTTAAGATAATTGTATTGAAGTTCATCGTACATTGGTCAGTTTCAGGCAGTTTGCCATGCTTTTTGATCCAAAGAAAACTACTTATATTCTAATTTGGCGGTCAAGTGTTCCTTAGGTGGGACAGGCCAATTCATCGACACCTGAAACATGCAAATGGTACAAAGATTAAAACCAGACATTTTTTTATTTACTCATGAAAAGTTGTTTTATGAGATGCATTGTTTTCACAGGACAGTCATAGGAAATTATATACTTGGAGTATGTTTCAGGCTTGCTGAGTCTCTTCAAGTCATTCAGACAAATTAGCAGTTGTTGCTGTGCCATTTCTGTTTGGATGTAGATTTGTAAAGACTGACTATGCCTTTTCTCTCTGCAGCTACTGGGATGTTGCATACGATAATGATGTCATGGACAACAGAGTTGGTCTGAATTTGCTATATGCCCAGGTAAGAGGTTTAATTACTTTGGTAAACCAGACAATGTCGTTTATTTTCAGCTGCAACAGTGGCCTTAAAAATACATTAAAATTAAATTCCCCTTGAGATATGGAACCAAACAGAAAATCAGACGTGATTGTGTTTGTTTGCATCTTGCATCTGTTATGTTTTATTGAGCCCGCCTAGTGCCAGCATCAAGGAAACAAAACAAAGGACTGCTTCAGCCCTGGCCTTCCAAATGCCCCCAGGCCCCTCCATTATCTGATGGTGATGTCAGCTTGTTTTGACTTTGCAACACCTTGACTCCTGTACCTCTTTGTGTTCCTCTGTAATCCTATTAGTGGCAGATTCCCTTTGCTGTGACAACTGGGATCTGTTGTATTAAGCATTTTTTGGGGCTGCGAGTTTGATTAAAATCTGAAACTGCTGAGTGTTGCCTCTTGTGTAGCAGAGAGGTTTTGAAAAAGGAAATCAAAGAAAAATAAACAGCGTTTGCGAGCACGTGCGTTTGTGCGCGTTTCTGTGTAATTATTTGCTGACCTGCACTGTTCACACAAAAGGCTTAGGGTGGGATTTCTCCCACATCTACCAAAGGGAGCACAAAACCCTGCTTTGTTTTGTTCACCTGTGTGAAAGATGAACTTCAGCTCTTGTTTTTTGCTTCACCAGACAGTGTCTGACATTGAGCGAGGCTGGATACTCGTCAACAAAGACCAGCACAGGCAGCTCAAATCACTGCAGGAGAAAGGCTCCAAGAAAGAAGTAAGCAAAGGGCTTCTAGATGATTCTGCAGCTACTGTGTCTCACTTGAATCCAGCTGATACTGAGAAATATCACTGTCCAAGGATAATTCTGTAGACCATAGAGAATACTGCATGTAGTGGATTCTGTGGTGCAATTAGCCTAGTTTTTCCCCTGATATCAATTTTTTATTACACCAATCCAGCAGAGAATTCAAATGTCTTTTCTCCAGGGATTAGACAGAGACACAATGTTTAGTTAGTCATCTAAAAATTGTTTTGTTATGCTTCCTCCCCCCAGTTTATCCATCTAGGTCAGACTCTTAAATATTACGGCTATATCAAGTTTGACCCTTGTATCACCGACTTCCCCGAGAAGGGCTGCCAAGTCATCGTCAGTGCCGGCAACAACGAGCTCAACTTCCACGTCAAGCTGCCCAACGAACAGATGAAGGAGGGAAGCTTCAAGGTCACGCGCATGAGGTGTTGGCGAGTCACGTCTTCTGTAAGTGGAAGTGTGTGTGTGTGTGTGTGTGTGAGAGGGAGAGAGAGCACGCCAGTATCTCTGAATATACAAAGTTGGAATCCACATTATTAAGAGGCTACGAGCTGGCAGAGTAGAGATGCAGCAGCTTTGGCTGGAGTCTGTCTCAAATCAACAAGTGCTCCTCCTGTGCTTCCAAAGCGGCCTGCTTACAGACCTCCTCTTACCCACTGCACCAGAAACAAATGTCTTTAGTCTTGCCAAGCATTAGTTTTTACTCCTACGCTCTCACTAAAAGTGCTGACCTCCACACCATACATCTTCATCTGTCCAATTACCCAAACACGCAGCCCACACAATGATAGTGCTGTATTGATCCAACAGCCTCACACACAGAGCAGCTTTCTCTCTTTGAACTGATAATTGTTTGTTGGTGAGAAGGGAATCTGATGGCATGCAGTACGAGGAAGCACCTAAACAGCCTACTCTGTATACATCCGTACAGTGCTGACAGCTCCGCTAGCATATTAAGAAAACAAATAGACTTTTTAAAATAAAAGTGCAGAGACGTTCAGGGTAGGGAAAGAAAGGGCAAAAGTGCTGTTTCACACAACATATGCCATATGTTTAATGCATGAGGTTACAGTTGAGACTGTCACCTAGTAACTGAATTGATCAGTAAACATGAGATGCTGTCAGAATCTGTCACACTCGGCTCAGCAGATGACAGTGATAGATTGATCTTGCCTACTCACTGCAGGTTGGATTTACAGTAAATAATCAATGCAGTGTGTTGCGCTGTCACTGAGGGGAAACTTTTTGTCATTTTCCTGAAAAGGTTGGAGTCAAAAGGCTCAACCACTAACAGTCAGCAGGGCATTTGTGTGAAAAACAGACAGGGCTCCTGCCATGCTGAAGAGATGTAAAATGAATAGAGAAACAATCTAATGTGCAATAACAAACCATAAAATAAATGACTTAAAGGGACATTCCAACAATTTAGACGATCCCATCCACTCAGAAGTGTTTTTGTCCTCTAAAATATCACACCTTGACTTTACTGACTTGTATCTGTGCAAGGTTTCTCACTAGAGAGATGTTTTCACATTCCTCTACTGAAGGGGAGATGTCTGTACATTTCCCTAAAATCTGAGATTCAAATGTACCAAATTAAGTTACATTTAGTATGTAACAAATTCAAAAGCCAATCTGTGTCTAGCAAATGACACCGGCAAAGAATCCTCAAACCTCCTCCAGCACAGAGAGGACGTGTTTAGTACAAAGAGCGAGAATTTGCAGTAGCATAGTGAGAGTTTGGACAGCAAACATGGCAGACGTTTTGGGTGTGTATCCTACCCTGGAGCTTCTCTTCACTATCTACTACATAATAACAATGTGACAATTTCAACGCAGGTATTTTTGTAGGTTTCACAACTACTAATGCTGTGTAAGCCACTGCCAGTTACAAGCTAACAAGCAACATAAACAAATGAAAGATGCTTACTGCACTTACCATTTATATATCTGCTAGTCGCTGATTTTGGTGCACAGAAGACTCCTGACTCTGACCGACACTCACACATGTAGGCTGAATATCGCTATGGCTGAATCTCTTCAATGTTCCCTCTAATGCTAGCAATCTTGATACGCTCCGCTCTTTCACCAGTCAACATGGCATAAGCAACAGTTGTAGGCGGGGCAGTCATAGATCCAGAATTTCTCAATTAAAGAGAGAGAGTAGATGTGCCTCCAGGCCCGTCATCAGGGTTATCTCGGCTTGGGCATGCAACTTTAAATGTTTAACAGTGAGTCAGTGTTTAACACTGGTGGTGTGGGGTTTGAAAGAAGTTTGCATTTAGGAAACGGGGAGGGTCTAATACAGATTCAGATCCCGGAGCGTTATGTGAAAAGAAATACCCGGTGGTTTTGGAGCTTGACCTACACTGGGAGAGAAAAGTGAGCTTCTACATGCTTCTACAGAGATTTTGATCTTAGCTTTTTTAATGTGTCTCTAGTAAGTCCCCCAACTTGATGCAAGTCTAAATCACGGGAGTACCTTAAAAAAAAGGTAATTTTTCAAATCGACAGACTAAATTTAACTGCCTGGAGCTTTATTTTTGTTCATTTGAAACCATAGCTGTTGTGAAATCCAGAACAAATTCTTTGTCTAAAGAACAAAGACTCTCCATAATTGTCACCCAGAAACGGCATAAATTTAAACCATCATGCACCACACAGCTGATCTGCCTTGAATCTGCATTTTCGTCTGCTTCCACCCAATCATTCGTGTTGAAGGGACAGCTCAGCAATCTATTTTCACTTCTGTGAATCGCTGAGAAAAGCGTTACATGCAGCTCTACCCACATCATTTCAGTCAGCATTTGAAATATGAGCATTTACAGACGCAGGACCTTATTTAAATGGAGATGTGGGAAACTGTTTGCTTTTGCATTGCATTAGTGTTCGAGCAGCACATTCATTATGACTATCACAGAAGCCTTTATGATTCTCCAAAAGTTAATTTGCACCGAGACGTAGACTCATGGCAACACATCTAAAATTAAAATGCATCTTGGCTCGTCTGATTACAGACTGAGCCCCCCACCCTGTCCAGCAGCGTGGTTAATTCCTGAGCTCATTCTCAGAGGTCAAATTCATTTTAATGAGCCCTTTCCTTTCCTACGAACTATTCAAAACATCTCATATGGTGCAGCACTGCAACCCCCCTTGTAGTCAAATCTCAAATTGCATCCGGAAGAACATGTTTAAACTGTGTGTGTGTGTTAGACCATTTTTTTTGTCTGTCTTAATACGTTATCTTCGTGTGTGTGTGTGTGGGGGGGGGGGGGGTTAACATGGGAGGTGCAGCTAGTTTCTCGCCCAGAGGAAATGGGTCTCAGTGAAGAGCACAGGCTCCATAAATGGGGAACGAGTGCTCGTCTCCAGAGAGCTGTGAAGTGTCTGAGCCTCACATATGCTTGATGGCATTTGAAATTCACTATTTTTACATAGTTCTTTCTTCACTCCTTTCTTGCAATTGTGTTAATCTTTTAGCACATGTTTTCTTAAGATTTGGCTGCCTGTCAGTGGTGATGCAGCAGCTCAAGAATGGCAGCTTAACAAGTAGAGATGCATGTGGTTTAGCTGCTTACATGACCCTCCAGTCATGGAGTAAAAAAGAAAGCTTATCCTCTACTTAAGAATGCAAGCTGGATGTTGGTTAAGAAATATGGAAATCTGTTACTTAATTTGTGAACTTTATACACAAGACAAACTTAACTTTAATGCTGAAGGGGTAAATAAACATAAGTTGTGTTGATGAAAACAGTTCAGACGGTTGTATTGTACATTTAGAAAATGATTATAATAATAATAATGATACCTGCTGGGGGGAAAAAACATATTATAACCCTTGCCCTTTCTGTCCGACTCTGCAGCAAGTCCCGATAGCCAATGGCACCACCAATCCCTGCAGCTCGTCCAAATGCGAGGTCAAACTGGAGCTGGCCTTCGAGTATTTGATGAGCAAAGACCGCCTCCAGTGGGTCACCATCACCAGTCAACAGGTAAGCTGACAGGGTCAACGTGGGCGCTACAAGCATTCAGTTCTTCTTCACTGTGTTTCACTCTTTTCAAGATGCCTAATAAAGATGTTGAGTAAAACTGCACTTAGTACTCTTCAATATTCCAGCCATTATTGACTTTGAGTCTGTGATTTCAGGCTATCATGATGAGTATCTGCCTTCAGTCTATGGTGGACGAATTGATGGTGAAGAAGTCAGGCGGCAGCATAAAAAAGGTTTGTGTTAAGAAAAATCTAATCTACTAATACCAGTAACTGCCATGGCATCCTTAATAAATGGGGGGGAAAAAGGACCACATTTTTGAATGTGTTTTTCAGTTAATACCCAGATTAACAAACTGTTCAACATTATAAATAAACACATTAGCCTCTTTCAGCATCTTCTTTTTTTATATTGTTTTTTTTTAACTATTTGGTTTTTATTTTAATGATTGTGGAGACAATAGGTCATTGGTTGGCTGTGCTAAAATCACAACACATGTAAATGCAGAGTAAACGTCATCATTTACAGGATTCCTTCTTAATGATATGTTGTGTTTTCTCCACTACTACTTCTGTCCTGACACCTCGTAGATGCTGAGGAAACGTCACAACGGCTCCATCCTGCGGTCAGACAGTCAGCAAGCTGTGAAATCTCCCCCTCTACTGGTGAGAAATGGGATAGTGTGCCCTAAGTTTGAATTTGATCTGAACGTTGTATAGCACAAGATAATTTGACACTGCATGCTGTTTTGGCTGCAGGACTCCCCAGACCCGAACCGTGAACAAATCATCAAACTCTCAGTGAGTATCTTTTGTTGTGAAGTATAGTATAGTGCTTCTAAAATAATTTGTTCGAATACTGCAGCATGCAGCTCAATGATGGGGCTTGGATAATTGATTCCCAGAACCTTAAACATTTGTTTAAAATCAATGTCAGTTCAGTATTAAGTATACTATTGATTATTCCATTTAGACCAAGCTGAGCTCGGTGTCCCTGCGAGGGATCAGCGCCTCCAACTCAGCAAATGATATCAGCGGCAACGATTTCCATGGCAACTATGCTTTCGAGGGAATCGGGGATGATGACCTGTAACCAGCCGATTCACCCTCCTCCCCTCTTCATTCTACTGTCAGCGACTGGGATGACAAAGATGCCGAGCCAAGCCAAGCGGACCGCAGACAGGTGTCCGACTCTGCGAGATTGTAGCTTGTTCCTGGAGAAATCGCTGCCTTAAGCTCTCGTTTAATCTTTGACACAGCCCTTTCTTTTTGACTCTCAAAAGCTCATCTTGATTTGTATTTTAGTTCCAAACATCATATTCGATTGAAACATTATCCCTATGTTATTATACTTGTGGCAACGTACAGTAAATAGCATGTCAGGCTACAAGTAGTCAAATAGGGAGGCTTTCTATATACTTTCACAAATTCCTACTTCAGTTTCATTCACATGGATCTGTTTGACTGGCAGTATATGTGAAGTTATAATGCAGTTAAATTCATGAGGTACAAAGTAAATTAATATATTATAAACTACATGAAGAAAACCTGCTAGATCCTGGATTCTTCCCTCGGTGGCTGCATGTTCCTTTCTAACCAGAGAGCCAAATGTTCTGTTAGACCTGGCACTAGTGATAATACAGCAGAACTGGATGTGGATAGTTCTCAAAATGAGTCCAGTGAATGTGTTGAAATTGATCTCTAAACTGTAGACTATTCAGAACAACTGCTTACCTATGTGGATGATCAATGTTTGGCTTGGCTATAAACCAAAATGTCATGTTTTATACTGTTAGTGGTCCTCTGTGTGTCATCCCACTCATGTGCCAAGTCAGTAAATATCTTAACAAGATACCAGTGGTGTTTTCAGCATACGTTTGAGGCACTCATACTGTCTTCAGAAATAGTCTGATGCCTTAACTTTTACTTTTCTTGTTTTCTTGCCTCGTTACCTTGTCATTCAACATAACATTGGTGGAAACTTAAACTCCTTGCCGAACTTGACAGATGGTTGATTTGGCCGAGCTGCTTGCACTTGCTGAACCCATCATTTTGCACAGTTTCACAGGTGGAGATGTTTGAGCGGAAGCTTGAGCATGACTTTAAACATTGTGTGGAGATTGAAGGGGCTCTGGAAATCCATCTTTGATTTTTTTTTTTTTTTTAAACCAATTTTTGAAAGGTTTCTCATAAATGCCAAATTATAGTTTACTAAAGCATTTTGCACAAAATAAACACAAAAATTATGACAATGTCACTTTTTATATTATGTACATGCAATTAAGTATTCTGAACATTTACTAATATCTTTATCATTAATAGCTTATTGTAATCAAATAGATCAAATGTAATCTAAAATGTATAGAACAAAGTTTAAATGGACTAACATTTATCATTGTTTACATCATGTTTAGGGGACTTTTTTGTGTTTACAAATTTTGCATCCGATTGTCTTTGTCTCATTCTTTTTGGCCGAGTGATGGCGTCGTCGGGAGCATTCTTCTGGGCTTCAGTTCATTTTTAATTTGTATGTACATTGTGCCTATCATCTCAGAGGATTTAGTTGAAAGGGTGTTTTGGTGAAGTGGCTAATGTGATCACAATTGCTGGAGTGAACACAGTTCACGGAGAGCAGGCAACAAAATGAACATATCCCGCTGTTTTATAAGAAGTCATTCCATTTTTATTGCTGTTTGAGTCTTTTAAGCTGTATCTCAGCATGTTTTGAAGCCTCCTATATGTAAATCGATGCAAACCTGTCAACAGCTTTACTCTCACTGGTAGCCAGAACTGTACACTGCTTCTTCTGTCTTTAGTTGCATTTACAGAAAGAGGGACGTCATCGACACCGCCATTCATTTTCTGTATTCCTTGTCGATGCGAAGTACGTGGAAGCTGCAAGGTCCTGGACGTTAGTAGATGTTTAGGTGCCAAATTCCATTAAAGTGCATTCATCATCAGCATCATTTTTACAGGAAATGTCAAATTTCATGAAGATTATATGGACTTGATTCATTCTACAACTTTTCATCTAGATTTTAGGTCAGTGACAACTGTCATGTTTAAATAAACAAAAATTAGCTGATCTTGTGGTTCTCTGTTGTCAGTTAATGGTGCGCTTCATGTTTTCATCATTACTAAGTGTTCTTAAGCAGCAGCAGCAGCTTTGGTTCCTAGACATGTAATAAGAGTCGTAATCCATATAGAGCAACCAAGTGATATGAATCAGTACACTACAATGTTTAAAAGTAATTTTAAGTTAATTGTCAGCTCCTGGAGGTATTTGGAACTTGTGACACTAATGTATGCTAACGTCAGCATTCTAACATACTGATATTGTTCACCCTCTTAGTGTAGCATGTTAGCATGCTAAAATTGGCTACTGGAAATGGCACTAAATTCAAAGTGCAGCTGATGCTGATGGAAATGTCAGTTGTTTGCAGATATTTGGTCTTAAACAAATTTTAACCTGATGATGGTGCATGAGGAAAAGTTACAGGATCACCAACGTGATTACAATTCACCCTGGGGGGGGGGACATAAATGTCTGACAAATCTTTTTAAATATGTAATGTGAAAACGCCACGCAGAGAGTTAAGAAAAAAAAATTAGATCCAGCCTGTCTGACATTCAATGAAATGAATTCCATGTGTTTATTTCAAAATCCTCACTTAAGGCATTTATGAGACACTGCATAAAGACAAAAAAATGGACACTTGGGGGATGTCAGTACTAATCAATGGGTTCAATGCTCCATTGTGTCATAGCAAGTTGGCAACCTGAAAAATCTCACTTGCATATAATAGTAATTCAAAAAGAGAGTAAACTTAAAATCAGTCCATATTTTTCCTATGGTAACTAAATGACACTTCACACATCCAAAAATAAAAAACACAAGTATACACTAGAAAAATAAAACTGTTACACACTCACATGCTTACTAATAGTGTCATATTTTTTTCAAGTAAACACACAAGAATGGGCTAATTTCACAGTCAATAGTAAACAGTAATCAAAAGGAGGGTGATCAAACAGTCTCCATCAAAAATACCCAGACTTAATTGTTTTAAGTTCTAGAAATTTAAAGAGTAACGATATGTAGCAAGTACAAGTTTGTGGCAGGAAACATTCTTTCAACATGCTCGTTTTACGATTTACTTTACTCCAATGCTTTGTTTCCCTCCACAACTCATTTAAACCTATCAAAGGCAACTGTGTGTATAATTGTGCCTTTTCTTTAACCATACACACGTCCAGACCGAAGAGGGCCTTTCAAAATGCTTGTGCATGCAATTTTAGCGTTAAAATAACCAGAAATAAATTTGCTGCCAACTGTTTAGCCTTCCAAATCCCGTTTTATAATCCTGAGGGGTACGGGAACACAGTTCAAGACACTGGAGATTCTTTAGTTAGGCTTCAACAACCTAATTAATCAATATAGTTTATCAATGGTACAGTTCCACTACTATTAAATAGCATTTTGCTAGTAGTACATACATTAGTAAATTAATCTGAAGGCATGCCATTACCAGAGCTTGTGCCCCAGTGCAAACAAAGCACAATATTAGTCTTTATTTAAAGCTGCACTGTGTAGTCTATGTATAAACTTAGCACATATGTCAAATCTAATTCCTTGTTAAAATAACCTATTGAAGGCAAGTCAGTTAAATGTGATAGGAAAAAAATCACTAAAATTCAAATTTCATGAAATTTTTGGTACAAAATTAAAAAGGTTTGGCCTAAATTTATGACAATTTATAACAACTTTGATAAAAACAGCTATTGCCCCTTATTTAAAATCTAAACTACACAGTGCAGCTCAACAGTTCAGGCAAAAGTGTGCACGAGTTCCATCTACTGAGGAGTATTTGGTAGTGTTCTCTGTTCTACGATGAAGAACCAGATGTGTGTTGTAATATGAAGGGGGAAAAGTTAGAATTAGCCTAGTGTGGTGTAACATATAGAATGAGACGGTCAAAGGACTTCCACTTTACAGAAAGTCCACTCGCCTTGACACAAACACAGAGTAGAAGACAAACTCTGAACAGACTCACCCACCTTACATAATCCAAAAAGGGATCAAAATATTCAAAACAATTGTTTTTCATAATTGTGCGAGATTATACAAATAAACAATTAGCAGCCTCTGAAGACATCTGACAAAACACTAACAGACTGATACACACTGAAACAATATAAAGGCTCTGTAGGGGGGGGGGGGTTGCTGGTAGCTTAGTTTTGCTGAGTTATATTTTATACAATCTCATGTTTGTAGCATGGGTGTATTGTCTGACCTACCTCCCTCGACATATACTGCATATCAACCCCGGTTTCTTTTCTGTGAGTTTGACCGCCAACTCCCATGCCTTTCCTTACTTCCCCTTCTTCATCGTTGCCGGTCATCGGGACTTTGACCCAGCCGTCTGTGGCCAGGCCGTGTTTCTTCTGATGTCTCTTGTAATTGTCCCAGTGGCCAGTGGTGTAGCCACACTCCTGGCACTTGTACGGCTTCTCTCCCGTGTGCCGAAGCATGTGCCGCTTCAGGTTCATGCTCTGGTTGCAGCTGTAACTGCACACGGCACACTGGAAGGGCTTCGCGCCAGAGTGCACCCGCTGGTGGCGCTTCAGGTTGGCCAGGTTCCCGCAGGCATAATCGCACAAATGGCACTTGTAAGGTTTCTCGCCTGTGTGCACTCTGTGGTGACGCTTGAGGTTGTCGAAGTGCGCTGAGGCATAGTCGCATTGTGGGCACTTGTACGGTTTCTCGCCGCTGTGAGTTTTCATGTGGCGCGCCAAGTGGTTGGGGTAGTGTGTGAGGAAGGGGCAGGCGGCGCAGGTGTACACCTTGTCGCTGCGTTCACCGGGGCTATTGGGAGATGATGAGTCTTTAGTCAGCATTTCAAGGGTACACTTGGCACAAATCTGCGCCGTGGAGCCGTCTTCGTCCTCCAGGACAATGCCACACAGCCGGCAGGTGAAAGGGAAAAGTGACTGTGTGAGGGCTGCACCGTCTGCTACGCCGCCTCTGGTTGCCCTGCTGCCACCGCTGCCTGTGCTCTCCATCAGGGGTGGAGGCTGGTGGTCAGGAGCTGGGTTAGAGGCTGGTATGGGGGGTGGTGACGCCCCTTTTAAGCCATCAAAGGCTGATAGGTAGTCATTGTTCTGGGCTCCCAAACTCAGGTTTGAAGTCGGCCTCGCAACTTCTGAAACTTCACAAAATGATTAGTTATTATACACTTAATGACTGATCAAAGCTATTTGTGTGCATCATGAGTCACACTATTAAGTGTAGTAAGAAAATGATACATACCCTTGGCTGATGCACCAGACTCTTCCTCATTGGATCTTTGCCCAGTCACATGCCTCTTCAGGCTGTTTTGGCCACTGGCCGGTCGTGGTGGAGCGTCCTGTCCCGCCCCCGCAGAGGGCACATGCATGCGCTGGTGCCTCTTGAGGTTGCCAAGGGAACTGCAGGCAAAAGTGCAGCGGTCACACTTGTACGGTTTTTCCCCAGTGTGAATGCGCAGGTGTCTCTGCAGGTTCACCAGCTGGGCCGAGGCGTAAGTGCACAAGGGGCAGTTATAGGGCTTCTCCCCGTTGTGCGTCTTCATGTGACGCTTCACGTGGTTGGCGTAACGCGAGGAGAAGCCACAGAGGTGACACGAGTGCAGTTTGGGCAATTTGTCCTCAGCTGTCAGTACTTTGTCACCCATCCCATTTCCCGCCGCATCACCGTCAAGCTGCAAATGGGATCCTGAGCGAATCCCGCTGATGCTTCCAAAAGGCGAACAGAAGTCCGTGCCTTTGGCTTCCCTGGAGGCTTTGCAGCACCTAAGGCAGTACGGACCAACCAGGTCTATTCCAGGTCCCAGGGGTTCATCGCGGAGCTGTCCGCAGCTCCTGCAGGACAGGTATGGAGGAAAACTGGGCTCAGACTGGGCTGCTCTACCCTCGTCTTCCCTACCGTTGTCAGTTGTGCTGTGGGAGTTGTCCGTTTCACTTTCCATGCTGAGCTGGCTGTAGGCAGGGCTCTCCTCATCACCCAGAGGATACACAGAGAAACCGATCTCAGCAGCTACTTCTGCATAGGGAAGACAAACGGGGGAAAGAAAGTTTCTAAAAACTGCATGTTTTCAGCATCAAGCTCTTCACTATCCACTTTAAATGTCACTACACAGATCATGACAAACAATGAAATGCAGCGATGCTTGAAATAATAATAGCTTTAATGACCTAAAAAATTTACTCTAATGCCATTTACAATGTTAGAACAAATGAGACATGGTTTAAAGGGAGACACCTGAAGGCACACATCCAATTCAAACAGTATCTTCCAACAAAGAAGGATTCAAAACTACCAGCGATACCAAGCTGTTACACATAATGCCCCTCCATTTACATGACACTGAAGAAAGACAACTTAAGTACAGAAAGAATCTCTGTAAAAAAAGAGACCGTAAGAAAACATTGGATACTCACAGTGCTACCTGCAAGGTCTCTTGCATTTTTGTTTTTATGCCATCTGAGGTTTTCAAAAAAGCAAAAAAGCAAAAAGACGGTACTTTTCTCAGACGGTAAGAAGAAAAGCTTCAAGACTTCAAGAGACTGGCACTCTTCGGTGTATGTGCTTCTGAAAGCGAACAAGCCCAAAGAAATAAACGCCTTCTTTCACAGATGCCGAGGCAGAATGTGAGGAAGGCGAGAATCAAGACTGCCCCTTTTATCCTGCCCCATGGAACCCCCTCGTGGATGATTATTGAGCCTAATGATGATGATCATGACTGTAATGGTGAGGCGGCTGCTGCTGATGATGATGATAATGATGATGAGGGCAGATGATGATGATGATGATGATGATGATGATGATGATGATGAGGGCAGATGATGATGATGATGATGATGGTAAGATGATGATGAGGGGGAAACAATAATGACAGTGGGTGGGGTAGTGGCAGCAGATGATGATGATGATGATGATGATGATTATGAATAAAAGCCCTCTTATAATGGTGTCCTTGATGGTAATGGTCCTATTTTTATGACCATTATATAATAATGGCGTCGCAGCTCCTTTCTCTACTTTTCCATTTTTTCAGACCGCTCTCTCTGACAAAGAGCCATGCTGGGAAATACGAGCTGGTAGTTCTCGTTCTCCTACTGTAGCACAGAGGGGCGACACTTCATCACTGAGAAGCAAACTATAAAAACCTACAAGTCCTCCTTGTAGCGTGGCCACCGCCACATTTCCTTTAAGTGGTAAAACCATTCACATCATTTACATCACAGATTTGTTCCATGAAAAGGAAGGCTTAAGCAACACATAATGATGCTATTGTCCTTTCACCAAGCAAATGTGGTTGAAACTGTGGAGTAAATTGAAATGTACTATAACAACCAGGCTGTCTGATTCTTTCATTCCCTTTATTGTATAATCAATAGACACATTTGCCACATGTGAGATAAGATGTCTAAAATAGACTAATACAGAACACAAACACACGGAGGGAGGTGAACAGGCAACATTTGACGACATTGACACCGAAAAGGACAAAAACTCGGTTGATAGACTTGCTCTACTTATAAGTGAATGGACACGTACAGTCTAAAGACAGGCAGACATCAACAGCACCCGCTGCCTTTTAAAGCTATAACCCTTAACTTAATCAAATCCCGTTTTATTTATCAACATTTTTTCTGCAATATCCATTCAATATATTTACATTCTGTAATTCTGTCTCTCTCTATGTTAGTTAGTATTATATTAGTTATCATTGTTAAGAGTCGATCATTTAAGCATTGGATTCCAATTTCTTACCTACACACAAGGGATTCAAAGCAAACAAGGCAACATGTAATCTAGAGTTTTTACTTTAATCTAACTAATACCAGCTTCCATCAGTTGACTGCTCACTCTCCTAACGTTGTATCAAAGCTATATAAAAGGGTAAATATACCCTTAACTCTCCTCTCAGCATCATTTCAAAATTGGTGAGCACTGGCTGCAACTGATCTTCAAAAAGGCACAAATAAAACAAAAGGTCATTTTCTGCATACCTCCAACGCCGTGCTTAGCGTGAAAATCCCATCACAGCTGCAATTACTTCTGACCGACTTCTTTGTTAAAAGAACTTGAGTTTGTCTGACTGAGCTGTAAACACAAACACCAGCGGCTCTTCTGCTGTATTTCTGACCCAAGTAGCTGCTCAAGCACCAAATCAGTCAACACTTAAATCTTCAGGCATTATCACTTCAATTATTTTTAAAGAGTGATTACAAACCTGAGAACTTTTCCAAGCCTAGAATCTTGTTGTCATGATCGGGGTCACCAAACTCAAGGTCTTGTCCTAGAAGGAAGTCTGTGTCTAAGGTGAGGTTTCCAGGAGCTTCAATGGCTACACCATCTTCAGAATCCACTGCAATTACAGAAAGGAGCAAAGAAACGACATTTGATGACTACTGTCATTTCACTGAAGGGCTCGGCTTTAATCAATCTGCATGAATATTTCCCAAAAGGTTATTTTAACATTTGGGGAAACTCTTGAAGCTGCTTGAGTTTCACAGTATCAATTAAAATTGTTGGCAGCCTGAATCACATCATAATTTTCCACACATACCAAAAACAAAATGTATCAGCTCTTCTCATTTTGCAACAAAAGCTTTTGGCATCCCTTAGTGAGCCAGATCATCGATTGTATGCAATAGTTTGATCCACCCCACAGAATTACACAATATATATTATATTAGAATTTTATTTTAGGTTAGTCAAGCATGCAAATGTGGAGTATATGGAAATGCAATTAGCCAGGTAGGGCTGGGCGATATGGCCAAAATAAAAGCATGATAATAAATGTCACATCATTCGATATCGATAATTATCAAGATAACTGTCGAATCATTATTTCTGTCAAGTTTAAAGACTGATTTTTTAAGTTGAAGAAATCAGATGGTCAATTGGGGTTGTAAACTGTTCTTTATGGTCAGAACATGACAAACACTTGTCAAACAGTGAATCACTTAACATTTCTGAGGTAGAACATTCAAAACAATTATTATAAAATCTTTTTACAACAAATTTTTCAGTCCCTTTTTCTATACAGAATATATATCTAAATATAAAAATTTGTGCTAATTTGTTAGTGATTCAAATGAATTCATTTAAACATTTATTTAACATTTATAGAACATTGGTTATATTGTTACTGAGGAAAATTATATTGTGATGATTATTGTTACTGTTTTATTGAAAAGGCCGAAAGCCAGGTCATTAGTAACTGGTCCGAATTTCTGCTGGTGAAAATCCTTTCAGTTCCACTATAATGTTATTTGTTTTAATGTGGCTATCAAAGTAAAAAGTCAGACATATTCTAGGAACACTATTTAATTTACTACCCTACAGTGTACAAACAGTATTTTATGAACAAAACCAACCTGCTAGCAGCTGACAGATGGAGCTTGGTTACTGCAGTTACAGCTAATGATGCCTGAAATTCTAACTTGGTCTCTCAAGCTTGATAACATCCAAACAACTACGACACAGCTGTCACTATTCAGAAAACTACTAGCAGGCCAATTCAAGGGCATCATGCTCATCAGCCCTTTCTGGCAAGTCCTGAAGTAACAGCACCATGCTGCCATCTACCGGTCCTTTTAGTGCTTGACACGATGACAACAATCTATCAAGACTGTGTGGGATGTTTCACTGAGCCACATCTCAAATTAGTTTTATAGCTGGCTGTAAAATAGGAGCACACAAAACAATCTTGCTCGGACATGTTGGACAAGCGAATGGAAATATTGGACTGTAAAAGAGCCACAGTAAAGCAAACCCTCTGATGTATTATTAGTGCATGACAGTAAATTAGTTTTGGCGTTTGAAGTACATACCGATCAATAATACATTTTCCTGGTGGGAATGTATGGTGTTGACATTTATTGTCCACCACTGAAATACTTGTAGACAACACAATCACACATTCATGTCCTTTTCTATGCATAACAGATGGCAACATCAATTAGAGTAACTACTTTAGCAATGTATGTTGATGTGACGATTACATTTAGAGAGGAAGTGTAGGGAGATGAAGAAGTTGGTAAAACAAATACTATCCTTCTGATAACTGGCAACATTCATATCTGGCCATACCGAGGGGTGCATGGTTTGAGACATTAGTTAATCTTGTTAACGTGCAGAGTATCACGCATTCAACAGCTTAATCTCTGTATGGAGCAGCTAATTACTAACATGAAATCAGTCATCTCATTCTGAATCAGGTACTACACAGAATACAACACATGAACAAATTTGTTCATAACAAGTAAACAAGTAAATAGCTCCAAATGTCACATCTGTATAGTTATAGCTACATTTCACAAGTCACTTGCAGTGTTAACATTCCACATTCATTCTAATGGATGCAGGATGTGACATCACATTGAACTGCATTACTAGTTGGAGTACTGTGGGTGATGACTGATGCATGATTGATGGGAAACACTCGGACGCCTGGAGTCCAGATGTGAGCAGAGAAAGAACACACGTTGTAAGCGTTCAGGCCAAATAAATCTCCAGTAAATTCACAGGGACCTAAATGTCGAGCCGCAGTTACTGTATGTTGTTAAAAAAAAGAAGTGAGAAATCATTTCCTGCATTCGGCTATGCGCAACTTTTCAATGTTAAAAACATCCCTGAATACTTACACTTGACTGGCTGTGGATTCTGTTGTTTTTTTCTTGGCATCTTCCGGTCAGCCTCTCTCTTTTTTGTAGCGGCGTCTTGCAGACTTCCTCAACCATCAGCTCATTCTCATCTGTTTGGAAGCTATTCTTCAGTATTTCTATAGATGCAAGACAGAAAAAATTCAAATCAATTAGTTACTTAGTTTAATTATTTGGTCATTATAATGTAATAATAATAAAAAAAAAACATCAGAATTTCCAAAAGCCCAAGGTAACATCTTCAAGTTAACCAACAGCCCAAACACATTTATCACAGAGTAAAGAAACTAGCAAATATTGACATCTGAGAAGCTTGGACCAGTAAATTTATGGCATTTTAAAAAATGACTTAAAAGATAAATTGATTATTAAAATTGTTACTGATTTATTTTCCCTTAACCAATTAATCAACAAATAGCTGTAGCTCAAAAATCTAAATTTACCAAGGAAGACATGATCACCTATTTCAGTTACCAACACAGAACTACCTTAGTCATTTTACTTTAACATAGGTAGGTTTTCTAGCTGATTCATGTCTGTTAATCCCTGTTTTTAAATAAAACTGCTAACTATAAATGCTACGAACCCATTTAGAAGTCTTACTGCAGTGTTTCTCTCATCTTCTGTTCAAATCTATTATGTCCCAATGAAGCCAGATGGAGAATATAACACTGTGCAGTTAATAAACCCTCCCTTAAAGGTCACCTACAATAACGTTACAGGGCACAGATGTCATTTAAGTGTATTTTCTGGACTTCAGCTGCTGTATTTACACTGTAAACAAGGGTCAGGGTCCAGAAAATCCATTAGACATCAACCTACTTTAGCAAAATGGCTAACACATCAACGTTAACGTTAGCTCTGGTAGTGCAAACCGACAGAGAGCAATCAAACGAGTCAGTCAGCTAGCAATTTAAACTGAAACATGTCCTCACATAGCAAACAGCAAGCTAATGTTGTCACTCTACAACAGGAAATGTCAGCAACATTTGGGAAAACTGACGGTAGACAACCTAATGAGTGGCTAAACCAGACGCGTCCTCATCTGCACGTAGTAAAGACTGACAAGTGCCATCTTTAGTGAATATGCGCCGTGGCTAAACGTGTTAACCTACAGCTAAATTAGCCGAGTAACGTTAGCCGTGAAGCTAACTTACCTAGACAACGTAAATAGTCCTGTCGATTGAGCTGTTTTTTATCGTCGCTATACACGCCATTAGATGTGAAGTGTTTTTGCTGAAGTGTACAACGTCTGGAGATCCGCCATTTCTTCATGAGCTGCGGTGACAAAGAAAGGCAATTAATGGTATTTTTCATAACTTAATTGATTTTCTGATTCGCCTGAGATCCAGCAGCAGCAACAACAACAACAAAGCTTCCGGCCTGGATCCTTCAGAATAAAAGCGACATCGCTAATTACTAATGGGAAATCAAAATTTAAATTTAGCACGAAACAAAACACTGATTTTTTTGGGGGGGGGCGATTTTTGAACAGGTAACACAAGATAACGCAAAACATCCTGTTTACTCGGTAAATTTAAACGGCAGAAAATGTCATCAGAAATTGTTAAGGCGTCCATTTTTGGTGCTACCACTTCATCAGTAGGCATCTAATTCACCACTTAACCGACCTTGTATGAAATGAGGTTAAGAAGTAACTGGGCTTAAGAAATGATATTTATTACTGAATAAATATTGATATGGTGGAATTCAATATCATACTTGACATATTCATTTAATCAATCTCATTTAACTACTGTCCATGAACAGACTGTTTTCCAGTTTTAACACCACATTTGTGTTTAGAAAGAAATTATATAATCTGACACCGGATGAAAACACACATTAACTGTTGTTCGCCTTCTGGATAGGTATGAGAATCTGTAGAGGATGTGGCATACAGTGAATATGTATGTGAGGGGTTTGCCCCTTGAACTGATTTGAGGGACATTTACTAAACTAAATAATATAGGCCTATAATTGTTACATTATTATTATTATTTTTTTAGAAATTCTTTAGAAATAAAGTGATGAGGTTTCTGAAAAAGGTCGTCAGTAGACCAAACCACTGTGAGGCATATGAGGGGGAGGACTTAATCTTTCAAAACTTAAAAAACACAGTGGACTCAGTAGAGAACAAGAGCTGTTAACCGTTTGTGTTGACTAGAGCTGATGGACAACAGTGGTTATTTTGATCAATTTTATTGCTGGGGACAATAGAGTAGTCACTGGATATTGGGAGGGACATGCCCCCTCCCTACTAAATTCTACAACTTTGGCAAAGCATGGCCTTGGCCTTGCAACCACTGTGATACATAAGAGCACAGCCTGTTTTTGTTTATTTTCACACTCACATATTTCAGATGGAACAACGTGACATGACAATGTACCAATTCTGTCAGCTTTGGGATTTCAGAGTTTCTTCCTTTTTATAACTTTTTGTTCCCACTTTAATGCCATCTTGTGCTGTTTGTGACTACTGCTCAGGCAGACCATTTCAATTTTAAAGTTTCATAGTATTTAATTCTAAGTTGTGGTACATTCATTAGGCCTAACCCCAGGGTAAAATTACATTTTGTTCAGAATCAGAAGGAGCTTTATGCCAAGTAAGGTTTTACACATACAAGGAATTTGCTTTGGTGATAAGGTGAGAGTATTGTGTACATAAATTTATAAATTGACCGTATAAAAATGTACAACAACAAAGATTACCAATTAACTACAAATATGTGCAATGTGCAATGTGTGTTTGTGCATGATATGAAATGAAATGTTATTTACATGTGCAGACACATTTGTATTATTTGCAAGGGGGGAGTGTCAGTGGGGAGCATGGGCTTTGTTAATGAGGCTAGCTGCAAACGGGAAGAAGCTTTTTTGTTGTTTGATCGCTATTAGTCATCCGAGCTTTTATTTAATTGGCATGACTATTTATTTCAAAATTAAATGATTTTGAAACCATTTTTAAAAGTTTCAATTCTTTGTTTTATTGTGAAGGCCCGGGCCGCGTACCGGACGTGTTATTGTTGCTGGCGGAATGCATCTTGATTCCACTCTGCAGACATCGCTCTTCCATTTAGTGAGGTGTTTTCCGCTTCCGAAATAAATTTCCGGTTGCTGTACCTCACTGAATCATGGTAGTTGTCGTTCTTACGCACATAGTATCAGAAATATCCATAATATGCTAATCTTAACTGAATGATTTTACAGCTCTATGACTGTTAACAGAAAACTTGGCAGTCCTACCAAAATACAATACACTCATCCAATGGACTGACTACCCCAATAGGCCCACTTCAAACCAATAGACAGTAGTCTACTGTGAGACCATCCCCAGATAATACAGTTGTTATATGGCAAAATAAAGAAATCATCCACTTCCACAATGCCAATGCCATTTGAAAACCTAAAGTATAAGCACCGAGCTCAACAGAGAATCCAGACTGATGAAGATACAATGTAGTAGCCAACAATGTGACATTGTAGGAAATGCAAAAATTTGTAAACTGTAGCCAAATGTGAGAAATTGGGCAAATGCTTATGTCTTGTGACATTTTAGGGCATTATCTGCATTTTACAAATGAATCTGCCCACACATTAGAATATTTTGCTAGTTATAGACTTAACACTACACTATGCATTACATTATGGGGACAATATAAAACATGACAAACTCCATTTACACTTAGAGTCCAGTAACACTGACCCACTCAGTATAGGTTGTCCTCCTGCAGTTCCACATAATATAGATTTCACACCTTAAATGTGATTGTACGTTATTTTTATCTAAACTGTGCAGTTTTTTTGTTTGTTTTTTTACAACTGGAGCCATGGTGCTTCAGGAGATCCATGAGGAGTAAACTACCTTTTATTTTACACAGAATTTGGACCAGGTCAGGTGTGGGCTACCTCTTAATTTCAAATGATCATGATCAATCCTGCCAAATGTTTGGTTGATTGGGATGAAATATAAAATGAGTTGTGTGTACATTTGTGTGTACATTTGGCGCTGAAAACGTGAGAAACTCTGTTTTTTGTATGGGATTTGGCATTTATGAATAGGAGATCCTGGGATTCTGCGTCATCCCATTGGCTCATGTCACTGCAGTGTGCCTCCCCTCAGGCCGCCGCACAGCAAAACCATCAGCCATCAATCTGCTGCTGTACCGGGTCAAGCCATCTCCTCTACCCGGCTCTCTCCTGTTGCTACCGGACCGGACCCGGCCATCATAACCCAGCCTCTCTGCCCCTCTGACGGTCAAAAATGTTTTGTGTGCAGCAGTAGGGAGGAGGAGACGAGGGTGATTTCTGTGCTACTGTTTGGTCCTCGGGGGGGAGGAGCCAATTCTTGATTCTACGCTGCAAAGAGAAGGCGCCGCACAGAGAGGTAAGATACCGTTTACGTAATAGAAATAATTGTGTGTTTTATCAGCAGACTCCCTAACGCGCTTGCAGACGGCTTTATTTTCGTTATCACTCGTGTCTATGAGGGATATCTGGAGGTGAAGGTGAATGCGAATACGTAGCCTATTCACCATGCCACTCCCTGCAATAGCATCTGGCTCCTGATGCCCTGGACATAGGTTACATCTCTTTAAATGATTAAACACTGAAGTATGAAAATATATATTTTTAATAAATGTTGAGCTTATGCAAAACTACCTATGATACGCTCGCTTTTACAACACCTTTAATTCACAATTGTATCCCCAATATACAGGCCGGCCCTTTATTTGGATAAATAACACTTCTCTTATTTAATCTGCAGAGTTAAAACACGGATCCGTGAGTAATAATACTACACTAAAAATACATACAATGTTGTTATGACATTTCACACCAATAGAGGCTACTATAATTTGATATTAAGTATAACCTAATCCCTTATATTGTGGTTAAAGTAGCCAACAGGCTGCCGGAGGTCAGTAGACTCAATGTTGAGCACCACATGGTGCAGAGCCAGAAGATTGTTATCAGGGATGCCACGGAGTGCAGGAGTGTGTGTGGGCAGACTGAGGTCACTCTCATGCCTCTGAAACCCGCATTGCTGATGTGGGCTTGTGTCCAGTGAACAGATATTTAATAGGGCGCATCATCAGGTTTCCCTCCGCGAAGGCAGAACTCAACATCAAACTGAAAAGTGACCTTCTTCTTCTTCTTTTCGGTCACTGCAGAGCAACAGCTTCTTAACAAGTGTCCTCGAAAACGCCGCAAAGCTGAGGCAATAAGATGGTTCATGCAAAGGACAAAATCCAGAAAAAAGGTGTCCTCTTTCTTCCCTGTTTGGCATTTCAAAGGAGTAGGAATGCCTGGGGCAGTTGCTGGTTGTGTAATAATCCCATCTGTCATTGTCGATGCATCTGTCATCAAGGGGCATAGTGCCACGCTATTGGTTCTAACCTACGGGCGTCCATATATTTTTTATTTATGAAACCAGAAAGGCTGTTTTATATCAAGAATAACTTGCACGTGCATATATCACTTACCGAACATTTTGTCCAGATTTTAGGAATGCAGTAAAGGCTTGGTCTGCCAATGTAAAGAGGTTAGATTGAAGATTTAATATGGTATTCAAAGCCAACCATCTGTACAGGTCATATGTCACAGTAATAGCTCATCACCCCCTTATATATCTTTACCTTTAGGGTAAAAAAAAATCCTTACAAACTGCTTTATTGTGAATGGTGCCTTCAGTATCATAGATGGGTATCCTAAAGGGGTGCTCCAGTGTGTAAGATTTGCACTTCCATAAAGTTAGCGGACAGATTAAAAGAAAAAGAGTGGTCAAAATTGGAGCAACAGAGGCCGAGATATCCTGAGGATTTGTGCCCCTAGTGTGGGTCAAACTGCAAAAACACTGGATCCTACATTTCCCACAATGCAACCAATAATCATTTAATTGTACCTTCCCTTCCTGGTAAATGCCCCTGCCTTTTGTACTCCATGCCTCCAGTTTGTAACACACATTGAGCCGAGATGACCCTGCTGACATGATCCGGATTAAACTTTTATTTATGGGTAAAAATAGGTGGATGCCCCTTTAAAACTTTAACGCACAAACTTTTGACTACCTGTACTATATTTTGGGGGGGGGGGATGAGTACGTGCCGCTTCTGTTGTCAAGTTGAAATTGGTGTGAATCAGCATGCTGAATCATGTCAGTAGGTAAGAAAACAAGACTACAGCCAAAGCCTTTGTACATTATGTAACGATGTCCGATGATGCTGTTGGCCGAGGGATCCGTTTTCTTTTGCCTCCCGGAGATAAATTAAAAATGAGGGTTTGCTGCTTTGAATTAAGACTGAGTGGCTTTTGTTCTTGTGTATTGGTGTAGCTACAGTAAAAGTACATGCAATAGGTGTCATTGA